GTCTATTCTAGCCACCCTGTCTCACCTAATGGGGGAGAAAAAAAACTAAGAAATACAGTACAGTTGTTAAGTTCTCCCAGAAGCATAGGATCACTAAAAGACCTAATCATAGTATTACAGACACTTCCGCTCCCACCGTACCATATCACCACATTTTAAAAGATCTATTAATAGCACCTTCCTTTCACCCACTACATCATGTCTGGCCACCAAGAAAAATTACAAGATATGCTAAAAGGTGAAAGCAAAAACAAACCCCACACAATTTGAAGAGAAAGCATCAGAATGCAGTGATTTTGGAATTATCAGACCAGGAGTTTAAAACAAGTATGATTAATATGTTAAGGTCCCTAGGGGTGCCTAGGTGACTCAGTCAGTTAAGCATCTGCCTTCAGTTCAGGTCATGATCCCAGGGTCCTCGGAATGAGCCCCGCATTAGACTGCCTACTCAGCAGGGAGTCTACTTCTCTGTCCCCTCTCTGCCCTCCCCCCTGCTAATGTTTTCACTCAGATAAATATAATCTTTATATATAAATCAAGAGTTGGATGCTTAACTGACTGAGCCATCCAGGTGCCCCTTATGTCTAATATATTTAAAAGAATGTATTCAATGCATAAAAATCTATTAGGTTTTACTGGATTTGGTTGAGATAAAGCTCCGTTATTACTTTGTCATAGCAATGAATTGTTACGGTTAACTATTCAAGACTTAAAAAAAAAAAAAGCCTTCAAAATATATGAGTACTTTTTTGTGAATTGATTCTCCTTTAAAATATAAGGCCCATCACCAGACCATAGCCTGGTTTTTCCCATCTAAAATAGTATTCATAACTACAGAAATGCTCCACAAGACAGTTTTAACATCCTTTTGCTGTTACAAGTTAATTTCTACTTCAGCAAAGCATTTTCATCACCTCATCACTAACAAAAATCATATTCCCCAAGAGAAACAAACTGAGTTGTTTTGTCAACCCTAGTAAATGTTAAAAAGAATGGTTTCAATTTATTTTCTGTAGAAAGTGATCCAACACTCCACTCCCTGGGTCCTCCCCAAATCACACAATACAGTGGGACTGATAATTGCACCAAGTAATTCTAATGGAGGATGAGTCAGCATAAGTTTTAAGGTTTTTTTGGCAACAGCTTTATTGAGATTTTTTTTAAATACCACACAATCTACCCATTTAAAGTGCACATTTGGGTGGCTGAGTCAGTAAAGTGTCTGACTCTTGATTTCAACCCAGGTCATGATCTCAGGGTTGTGAGATTGAGCTGCACATCAGACTCTGCACTGGGTGTGTAGCCTGCTTAAGATTCTCCCTCTGCCCCTCCCCTCCTTTCTCCCTCTGTAAAAAAGTTTAAAAACAAATAAAGTGTCTAGTTCCCTGACTTTTAGTTTATTCAGAGTGGTGCAACTATCACCACAATCTATTTTAGGACATCTTCATCACCTCAAAAAGAAATCTTATGTGGTTAAACAAAATGATATAGATACATACAATGGAATACTATTTAGTCTTGAAAAAGAAGGAAATTTTGTTATGCTACAATATGGATGATCCATGAAAGGAAATTTTGCTAAGTGAAATAAGCTAGTCAAAAGAAATAAGTAAAAAAAAAAAAAGAAAGAAAGAAATAAGTACTATAGGATTCCATTTATATGAGGTTCCTAGAGTAGTTAAATTCATGGAGACAGAAAGTGGAATGGTGGTTGTCAGGGGTATCAAGAAGGGGGTAAGGATGGGGAGTAAATGGAATTATTGTTTAATGGGTACAGAATTTCATTTTATTTTGTGTCATATATATTTTACCACAATTTCATTTCCCCTCAAGTCTAAACCACTGATCTACTTTGTACAGATTTGTCTATTCCAGCTATTTCATTAAGATGGAATCATGTAGTATTTGGCATCTTTTAAGATTTTTATTTATTCATTCATGAGAGACACAGAGAGAACGAGAGGCAGAGACACAGGCAGAGGGAAAAGTAGGCTCCATGCAGGGAGCCTGACGTGGGACTCGATCCCGGGACTCCAGGATCACACCCCGGGCTGAAGGCAGCGCTAAACCGCTGAGCCCCCCCGGGCTGCCCAGTATTTGGCCTTTTGTACCTGGCTTCTTTCACTTTACATAGTATTTTCAAGGCTCATCCACGTGGGTCGAAGCATGTATTAGTACCTCATTCCTTTCTAAAGCAAATAACATTCCATTGTAGGGATATACCGTTTTATTTAACTATCAGTTGTTTACAATTTCGGCTATGAACGTTCCTGTATAAGTTTTTGTGGGAGCATAGGTTTTAAATCTTTTCATTATCTATGTATAATAGAGAATGTGTGGCATGGTCTTGTTGGATCTTAGAGTAACTCCGCGTTGGAGGTAGTCCCAAAATATTTTCCGAATTGCTTATATTTTGCATTCCCAGCAGGAGCGTTTTCAGTAAATTAAAAACAGAAGAAACGGACGCCTGGGTGGCTCAGCACTTGAGCGGCTCCCTTCAGCCCAGGGCGTGATCCTGGGGTCCCGGGATCGAGTCCCACGTCGGGCTCCCTGCGTGGAGCCTGCCTCTCCCTCTGCCAGTGTCTCTGCCTCTCTCTGTCTCTTTCTATGTCTCTCATGAATAAATAAAATCTTAAAAATAAATAAATAAAAACAAACAAAAACCCATAGACACCCCTGGCCTGTGAAAACAACGAAAAGCAAAGTTTCATATCTAGCTTTCTCCCATTTCTGTGCCTCACAGAGAGGGGGCGACGGTCATTTAACTAAAGAGGGCGGAGGAACGGGCCGGGTACCCGCCCGATGGGGGCGGAGTCCCAGCAGCCCCCGCGCCGCCAACGGTGGAAAGGTGCGCGCATGCGCGCGAGGTCTTGCTGGGAGTCGGTCTCCAGGGAGCGCCTGACTGGCGGGCTCGGTGGGTGAGGCGCGGCGTGGGTGGTGTTCGCTGTTGGGCTAGGGCTCCTGGTTCCAGAGGCTGCGGAAGGCAGTGCGAGAGCTTCTGGGTCCCAGGGTGTGAGGTCGGATTCGCTTTTATCCGCTTTGTGAGGTGTTTTTCTGCTGAGGGGCCAGGGTGAGGAGACGAGACTCGCGCCTGTTCGAGGTGAACCGGCCCTTGAGTTCTCTGGAGTGTAGGAACGCTTGTAGAATTTTACCCCCGTTCTCTTATTTAATGCGTTTACGCAGGCTTCCATGTCGATTTCCACTTTCCCCTCCTCAAAAGTGAATCCACTCCCAGGACCTCTGCTTTACACAAGTGACACCGGGGCTTTATCTCTCGCTTTTTTTTTTTCTTTCTTTCTTTTTTTTTTTTTTTTAAGCTTATGGCCTCCAAGCTGTGATTTACGTGGCCCTCATCCTTGTATATATCGGTGTCCCAAGAGCCTGTCAGGGTTTACAGTATCTCACATGAGCTTTACGTTATTTTCCTACTCCTCGGGGTTCCATGTCTCCATGAGAGCAGCAGCATCCACCCATCCTGAGAACACCCCCAGGCTGATCACCAGGTCCAGCGTGACATCTTCAAGAATCTAGAATCCATCCCCTCTAGTTCATTTCACTCCTAATGCCCTGGATTGGACCATACATCTATCTCTCAGGACTATTTCAGTAGCTAGAAACTGATTATCTTTAACTCTCTATCCAACCCATCTTCCGCACTGGCAGCAGGCATTGATTACCAACATAAAAATCTGACCATGTTTCTCCTGTTAAAGACTTTGATGGCTTCTTTTTTGCCTATATAATCGTCACGGACTTCAAACACTTTAATAGTCTGATTTTCACCAATTTCATTACCAATAGCCTCCCTTCATTCAGACCCAGAAACCCTATGTTCAAATGAAGCACAGATGTGATGTCCTGAACACAACATACACTTAAGATCATTGTATCTATGACCACTGAGGAACTCTGAACTTTACCCCCCCGTATAATAGCAAAAAGGACAGGTCTCAATTACGTTTCTTTGGAAAGTGACCTGAATTCCAAATAGTAATAAGGACATGGATTCAATACTGTAGGTCTGAAAATTGGGGTAACAAGGGATTACCCCATCTTTGGAAAAATTCTGTTTTCACATCTCCAATTAGTGAAATCTTTATCAAATGTCACCTTTAAAGTAGAATTCATTGTTTTTGCTCTATGACCCATTGTATTAAGTCAAAATGTCCTAAAACAATAGAAAATATTATGCCCCTAACACAAGGATGATGCCGTTTTGTGAACTATTTGATATATCTTGTACATTAATATTTATTTTATAGCAAGTAAGTTATAACTTTTTTACATGTCTCTCATCTCTCACTGTACTCTTTGTGAACAGTAGGAATCATTTTACTCATCTTTGTATCCCCGGTGTCTAGGACAGTCTGGTATCTAATAAATAGTTAAGTGCCCAATAAATACTTGATGATGAGTAAATGTGATGGTCATTATCTCCGACTTCTCTTAATTGGCAACTCCTTGAAGGCAGGATCCAATCTTAACCATTTTATCCCTAACACCTGATACAATTGGTATTTATTGTTTCCAATTACTGTTTGCTGTCTTTAAATGAATTTGACATATTCATTCTCATTACCAAGGTTTAATGTGTTATGTTGGATCTGGAACTAAGTCCTCAGACTTTTTAGGTTAACTACATTTTACTTAGATTGAATTTTTGGAACAACTTTTACCACTTTCACTTTTTAATAAACAAGCTCTGCAAGAGGACCTCATCATCTACTATTTATTCCAACAAGCATTTTATGAGAACACCTACTCTGCAAAGAGACAGTTGAGGCTCCTGTTCTTAAATTTGCAATCTTGTGGAGAATAGTATGACCTACTGTCGATAAAAAATGTTATTTGGCAAAAAAACCCACAAAGTTTTGTTTCCTTTTGGGCAGGAATTTTTTTTTTGGGGGGGGGCAGGAATTTTTTTAATTTGAAAATATTACCTCATTTCACTCTCAGTTTTACGTTGAACAGTTGTGAGGTTTTATTAGAGATCATGAATTGAAAATTCTAATTTATTTTATTTCTAGGTAGTCTCATCTTTTCTGTGCATTTCACCACCTGTAGTCTTTACCAGCCAGTAGTTTAATCACTTAGTAATAGAGAAGAATCATTAACCAGAAGAAAATGTCCAATCTAAAAATGAAAGAGGCAGCCCTGATCTATCTTGACAGAAGTGGAGGCCTCCAAAAGTTTATAGATGATTGCAGGTCCTACAATGGTATGTTCAACAAAGGGACTTTATATTTAAGAAACTTTAAAATAAATCCCTACATGTAACTATCTGCATTTTTATATTTGTGTATCTTTACAGATTCAAAACAAAGTTATGCTGTGTATCGATTCAATATTTTAATAAATCCCTCTGATATTACTGAATTGGATGCTGAACTAGGAAATCACATTTTACACCAGCCTTTAAAAGCTGCTCAAGTTTTTCAATCAGTAAGTTAAAGAAAGAAATAATTTTATGCCACGTGGAATTTTTGGTAACTTTGTTTGTTTGAAATCACAGGTCTGTTTTACTGCTGTTAAGACTCTCTCATTAATTGGACAATTACAGACTGAAACTCAAGTAAGTTTTACTTAAATTTAACAAAGAAACCTAAGGTAAAAACTTGATAATTACTTGTAAATAAATATTTTTATATTCATACTTTTGTTCATTAAAAAAGAGACTACATTTCTTCAGAGTTCAACACAGTATCTTAAATACACATCTTTGCTTCTTCTATTATAACATTGGAAAATTTTATAATAAAACATTTCAAACATACCCCAAAACAAAGAGAATAATACAGTGACCTCTATATAGCTATCATTTAGATTTAATAGTTTATAATATTTTGCTATACCTGCATCATCCATTTTTTGCCAAAATATTTTAAAGCAAATCCCAGACATCCTAATGATACCCCCTACAGCCTTTAGTATCAACTTCTAAAAGTTGCAGACATTTTTCTTATATAACCACAGTGCCATTATGACCCCTTACAAAATAACAATTTTTTTGGTACCATCTAATATCTGGGTCATATTTAAATTACCCATTTGGGCTCTCAAGAGTGTCTCAAAATTGATTTGTTCAAATCAGGATCAAAACAAGGTCTATGCATTATAATTAGTTTCATTAAACCTCTTTTAACCTAGAGCAATTTCTTCCCTCTTCCTTTTTTATTCCACTGAGTTTTTGAAGAAACTAGTTAATTGTTCTGTACAATGTTTCATACTCTGGATTTGTCTGATTATGTTTTATGGTATTTATTCTTCCATACCCCATATTTCTGAAAAATATAAATTGGCTCTAAAAACTTGCTTAAATTCAGATTCAACTCAGGACACCTGGGTGGCTCAGCAGTTGAGTGTCTGCCTTCGGCTCAGGGCATGATCCCAGAGTCCCAGGATTGAGTCCCACATTGGGCTTCCCATGTGGAGCCTGCTTCTCCCTCTGCCTGTGTCTCTGTCTCTCTCTCTCTCTCTCTGTCTTATGGATAAAATTTTAAAAAAAATTCAGATTCAACTCATTTTGACAAGAATAAGTCATACTTATTGTCATGTATTTTATATTGTACTACATTAGAAATACACTGTTTTTCCACTTTTAGTAATCCCAGAATTACTGATCAGTGGGTTCTGGTAATGTCAGTCTGATCTCTTCAATATATACTCTCCCATCAATATTCACCTAATCGTTTTTGCAGCCACTGATGGCCATTACCTAGAATCCATTATTTCATTAGAAGTTGCAAAATTGTGATTTTTCTAATTTCAGCAACCTTTCTGAATTTATTAGTTGAAGTTATTCTATAGCAGAAGTTTTCTCTCATCAACTATTTGGTCACCCTGAAATACAGTTTGTACCTGAAAGGCAGAATAAATGGTTGATTCTTTCCATTTATAAATTTTCAGAGAATAGGAATCCCTGGGTGGTGCAGCGGTTTGGTGCCTGCCTTTGGCCCAGGGCGCGATCCTGGAGACCCAGGATTGAATCCCACGTCGGGTTCCCGGTGCATGGATGTCTCTGCCTCTCTCTCTCTCTCTCTCTCTCTCTCTCGTCTCTGTGCGACTGTCATAAAAAAATAAAAAAATAGGGATCCCTGGGTGGCGCAGTGGTTTGGCGCCTGCCTTTGGCCCAGGGCGCGATCCTGGAGACCCGGGATCGAATCCCACGTCGGGCTCCCGATGCATGGAGCCTGCTTCTCCCTCTGCCTGTGTCTCTGCCTCTCTGTCTCTGTGACTATCATAAATTAAAATAAAAATAAAAATTAAAAAAAAAATAAAAATTAAAAAAAAATTTTAAAATAAAATAATAAAAAAAATAAATTTTCAGAGAATAATGAATTGAAATCTAGGAGCCTCCAATAATGACCAATAATTTTTTTGGTTTTGTTTTTCCTTTTTTTATTATGAGTAACTCATAAATTTTAAAATATTTCTAATATATTTCAATGAATCTTTGTCACTCTTTTTGATATTCATATTATTGTACTTTTGATCATTGGGAGTCCCTTAGAGTTTGCTTTTATGTCCTTTTGGCACAACCCATGTTTTAATTTTTTTGTAGCTCCCTTGGTTTCTGGCACACGGAGGTGTACGAGGTCCATCTGGTATATCTTCTGCCCCAGACCTACAGTCAGTCATTTCCCTTAAGCAGCCTTGGTTCCTTTTGGTGAAAAATTACATTTAAGAGATCACAGTCTGGCACTAAAAGTATTCATTAGTATTAGATTGTCATTGTTTTGTAGGTCTTTTCAGTGTAGGTCTTGTTTTATAGCCAGGAATTTGTGGTTTTAAAGAAAAATAATTCATAATAATATTTTCAATTAAAATGTAAGATTTAAGGGGTTTACATCTTTAATTTTATATTTAAATCTTTTTTCTTATGCTTAAATTTTGTTTCCTAATAACAGTAACAAATCATTTACTTGATTTACTCCACAGATATACTTACTATAGTGTAATGCAAGTCCACTTGGATCTTCAATTTTTATTAATACCATTTTTTACATTCTTATTAGATTAATATAGTGCTGAAGTTAACACATTTACCACAACTGCGAAGTTATAGTCTTGATCTTTGTGAGTTTCCACTTGATTATGCATCTCAAAGATTTTATATGATGCAAGGAATTGTAATTTCAATGACAACTGTAACCAAGTATACACAAGGTGCAAGATTTCTTTGTTCGGATGGAGCATGCCCTCTTTCAAAAGGTAGATATAAAAATGTAAAATCAAAACGTCAAGCAATTTATTGTTTAATCCTAAATCGTGTTTACCATTAGTTATGAAACATTCATAGAGTAGAAAGAATAGAATAAAACTTGGTATTTCATGTTTATAAGTTCACTTTGCATAATCTTGAAGAGTGCATTCTTTTCTTTCCCTACTATCTTGGATTGTTGAAGTACTTGTTCTCACACATTGTTTCATGACTGTTCATGCTGTTACCTCTCCCTGTAATGTCGTCTCTCAAACCTTTGGCTTAACTTCACTTCAGTCCCTCTCCGGACATCTTTTCCATTCATCCCCACTTCTCATTGGGTTGGATGCCATTCCTCTCTATGCCACTCTAAATGAATACCACTTATTGAAATTATCTGTTTCTTATTGCTCCTTTTTGAAACTGTATGTTTAAGTATCCATATCACTAGTACCTTGGCATAGTGCCTGGCGAGAAATAGCCGTGCAATAAATGTTCATTGAACTGCTCTGAACCCATATGCAAAATTGAATTATACTTTGAATTAGATTAATTTTAAAGGACTGAAAATGGATAGCTAAATCTAAAATCAAATTTAGCTTACCTTTGTTTTCTTTCAGGATTTCAGTATATAAGAGTGCATGTGCCTGGTGCTACAGAATCTGCAACAGTAAGAAATGACTTTTTGTGTAATCTATGTTCATCTTCGCTTCAAGAAGACAGAAAATTTAGAGTACTTGGTGGTAAAAATGCATTTATATTTTGTAATTACAAATTTTAAAATAGTGTTTGATATGTTAATGTGGAAATTCAATTAAATGTATATTCAAATAACTATTCTTTTTGCTGTTTGCCTTAAGATAAACAGATAGTTGAATTAATCACAGCAAAGGCACTTCAGGCTTTTAAAGGATATTCTAACAACCAGCCATTTAGGTTTCAATCTCTTACAATTTTTCTAAGAGGTAAGTAAGTTTTGTATGAACTAAAAACCAATTGCTCTAAAATATATGAATATGTAATTGATTTCTTTATAGCCATGTATTATAAATGGTGCTTCTATAGCTTAAGAATCACAGGTCTCTTTTGAGTGTTTTAAAGAGTTATATTTAGCTAATATATCAGTTATTAAGTCATATATCATTAACTTAAAAAGGTATTAGCACCTGCTATGCTCTAAGCACTGTGCTAAATTTCAGGGATACACTTATTTATGGTAATGGTCTCCCATCATTTTATGTTGTATATTATGTAAATATTGGGGTTATTTTATTTATTTTTTAAAGATTTATTTATTTATTTGAGAGAGAGAGTATGTGCAAGCAGAGGGAGGGGCAGAGGGAAAGCAGACTCCCTGCTGAGCAGGGAGATCAGATATAACCTGAGCTGAAACCAAGAGTCAGCCTCTTAACCAACTGAGCTGTTGAGGAGGCCCTGGAGTTATTTTATAATGTAAATTTCATGAAAGTAAGGACTTTTTTTTTTACTGTACATAATAAAACCTCAATAAATATTTGTTTAAAAAATGAATGAGTTGTGACATATGATTAACTGTTGAGAACTGCATGAGTAAAAACCTGTGAGTGGACAGTCTGCCATGGAGGAAATCATTTTCGGTATCAATCACCCAGGGAAGGGTGAATCTTCACTGAAAAGCTGGAACTGTGAAAATGAGGATGGGGCTCAGCCTCTTTTCTTGGGTTGAAATTGGAGGAGTTAAACTGTTTAAAAAGAGAGAACTTGGATGTCAACCATGTATAAGAAAATTAAAAAAAAAAAGAAAAAGAAAAAGAAAATCAAGAGATAGGGAAGTAGAGACCCAAACAAAAACTCTTTCCACCATGGCCTGACAAGGATGAGGCAAGCATGTAAGCACAGATGATAATAGGTAATTTTTATATAGCACTAACTGTGTGCCAGGCACTCTTACATATATTAAATCATTTAGTCACAACCCTATCAAGTAAGTTCTATTGTTATCTCAATTTTACAACTTGGAAATTCAGGCACAGAGAAGTTACTTGTCCAAAGTCACATAGCTAAATATGTGGCATAGTCATGATTTAAATTCAGGCTTTCTGGCCTCAAAGCCTATATTTTTTGGTTTGGGGTTTATTTATTTATTTATTTATTTATTTATTTTTTTATTCATGAGAGACATAGAGAGCGGGGGGGGGGGGGGGCAGGACACAGGCAGAGGGAGAAGCAGGCTCCATGCAGGGAGCCTGACATGAGACTAGATTCTGGGTCTCCAGGATCGTGTCCTTGGCTGAAGGCAGCGCTAAACCGCTGAGCCACCAAGGCTGCCCTTAAGCCTTTCTTTATAGCTTTACAACCACCCAACTTCTAACTGTGTATTGGAGGATCAAGGTTTTTAGTATATGTTTTTATTTTTATTTTTTTTTAAGATTTTATTCTTTTATTCATGAGAGGCAGAGAGAGAGAGAGAGAGACAGAGACAGGCAGAGGGAGAAGCAGGCTCCATGCAGGGAGTCCGACCTGGGACTCGATCCCGGGACTCCAGGATCACACCCTGAGCCGAAGGCAAATGCCCAACCGCTGAGCCACCCAGGTGTCCCTTTAGTATGTGTTTTTAAGATAAATTTTGAGGGGTGCCTGGGTGGCTTAGTTGGTTAAGTGTCTGACTCAATTTCAGGTCAAGTCTTGATCTTGCCATCCTGTGCTCAAGCCCCGCATTGGGCTCCAATGCTGGGCATGGAGCCTACTTAAAACAGTCTGTCAATCAATTTTGAATTTGTGCAAAAGCTTTGCCCAGTCTGTAGATGTGAAAAGGAAAATCTAGCATAGTGCAAGAAGGTAGACTTTGGAGATAGGCAGATCTAGATGTGAGTTTCAGTTCTGCTACATATTGTTTAGACTTGTACCATTTACTTAACTTCCCAATTTCTTCAGGTACAAAACAGGAATAACAATATCTAATAGTTTTCAATTAGATAATATGTGTAAAAATACCTTGTCTATATTGTAGGCAATGAACAATACTTATAAATTATTTTCTTCTCAAATTATTATGTATAAGGGAATTTTTATTAACAGTTTTTGTCATTTAATGAAAAGATGTTTTGTCTTAAATAGAATGATCTTTTTTTCCTTTAGTTATATTAAAGGAGACTATCTAGTTGCTATGTCTCATGCTTCTTGAGGTTAACTCGTCATTGCCTATAAATATAAAAACTTATCAGCAATAAAATTGCCTCAATTTACACTATTAGTGCTACTCTGTATAGATACTGTACTAAACAAAGGTAGATGCTTTACAACCAGCTTGACTACTGAGTTATTAGTTCTAGATCTTAGAACCATATGATCATGTAAAGTTTCATTTAGTGAATACATATTTTCTTTGTGTTTACTAATCTTAGATGAATCAGTGGGTAAAATGAATATAGGAAGTGAGTATAAAATTATTGGAATTCCAACCTGTGTAAAAACTTCACAAACTGCTGTCTGTATAGAGGCAAACAGTATCATTTTTTGCAATCCAAAAGGTAAGAAAATTGTTAGTAGCATATATTAACAGATATTTAAATTTAAGTCCATGTGATCAGGAAATAAGTATTTGCTCAGGAAATAAGTATTGCTGGACACTCTTCTAAGCACTAGGTATATAGTTGTAATTAGGGCAATCAAGGTTCCTACTTTTAAGTCGTGGTAGACAATCAGTAATCATGTAAACTAATCAACAAGACGATTTCACACAATAAATGCTTTAAAAGAGATAAAATGTGATAATGTAGAACCTTGTCCACAGGAAGGACTCCATTTTTTGCCTAAACCTTTTGATTTTTTCATAATTAGCAATGAGAAAATTGTGTCCAGATGCCAAGAGTTAGAGATTCATCAAAAGGTTTTTCTACCCAACCTTTTGTTTTCTGACTAAGACAAAGTAACTCGTGGCCTGAGAAAAAGAACCCAATACAGTAGCATCCTTTTCCTCATCTGACTTCTGAACCAATCAAGAAATAAGACAAAAGAGAAAGGCAGATGGGGGCTAAAATATACCTTAATACTGGTAATTTCCTTTAACAACTCAAACGTAAATTAGCATTAAGTAAAAGTGGAGGGCAGACCTAATCTTTTAACTTGGCACACAAATAATTAAAGTAGGAAAAGACTAGTTAAATCTTGAATAGATTTAGAAAGTTTTTGGATTCATTAGTTAACCATCTGCAATAATAGAGGCCCAAGTTGAATTTATTTTTTTTTTAATTTTTTTTTAATTTATTTATTTATGATAGTCACACAGAGAGGGAGAGAGAGGCAGAGACACAGGAGAGGGAGAAGCAGGCTCCATGCACCGGGAGTCCGACATGGGATCCAATCCCGGGTCTCCAGGATCGCGCCCTGAGCCAAAGGCAGGCGCCAAACCGCTGCGCCACCCAGGGATCCCCCAAGTTGAATTTTAAATGCAAGTAGATACTAGATACCTCTGCCTGTCTTGAAAAGTTTTTTTTTTTCTTTTTTTTAAAGATTTCATTTATTCATGAGGGACACACAGAGAGAGGCAGAGACATAGAGGGAGAAACAGGCTCCTCATAGGGATTCCGATGTGGGACTTGATCCCCAGACCCGGGATCATGCCCTGAGCTGAAGCCAGATGCTCAACCGCTGAGCCACCCAGGCATCCCAGAAGAGAAAAATTTCTTAAAAGAATAAAAATATTGATGAAAGGAAGCACTAATGGACAATACATATTTTAATGATATTTTAAATATTTTTTTCTTTGAAGTGTTTCCAGTTTATTGATTTGGCAGCAGAGCATGATTTATATGTAGATGAAAATGTATTTTTTCTCATGCTGCACTACAGAATTAGGCAGATTTAACCACCCAAATGTGTCAGGAGCTACACTAAAGTAGGTCTCCCTTGGTCCGTAAGTATAAATGGATACAGGAAATAATTGCTTTATGATGGTGGCTTAAGAGGAAGGAGAAAGGGAGTAGGTTATGTATGCACAGCTATTCCTCCCAGTGATCAATTGGATTAAATCACTCATTTCTTTCAGGAGCTGGATAGAGTAGGGGAGTGGAAAAGATCTAGAATGTTACAGTAAAGTACAGTACAGTGCTTTCAAAGTAATAGTAAATCTTCCGTAATAGACAGTAAATCTTCCCTTTTAACAACAACATTCAAATATTTCCCATTCTACTATTTAGCTCTCACTAAAGGTGGTATTGTTTTAAACAGAAATATAAAAGCAAACACTGCAATACAGGAGGCCTCTGACCTGGCTTTGTTCACATAGGTCTTAAAAGGAAAAGAATTTGAATCTATATGGTATTACTAGAACTACAATTTGATAATATTTTAGATAAATGGAATTAGAAATCTATAATGTCATTTTCTTGTTTTAAAACCCCTTTTTAAAAACGTGTTAATATTTATTTTCAGTTCCCTCAGGAATTAGCAACAATTTCAAGGATCTTCTCTCTTTGACGTCCAACTCATGCTGGAAATTTACAGCAATACTTGCCAATATCTTTGCATCACAAATTGTTCCTCCTGGGACTTATAATTTGCTCAAGCTCTGTTTACTGATGAGTCTGGTACAAACATGTGACCGTAACAAGGAACTGAAAGATTGCCTGGATATTTTAATTATAACAAGTGATACTCTACTTATAGACAGGTAAAATATGTGACATGAATGTTTTCAAATTGTAAAGTGGTCATAGATTTGCATAAATCCTTTCCATGAGCATTATTACAAGACAAATATTTAGAATTTATCTGGACAGTATAAATATTTAAAAAAAGACTTTTATTAACGAAGTTCAAAACTTTAAAAACAGGAATTGATTAATTGGATATTTGCCTCAGTATTTTGAGGATCTAACCATTCAAAATTTCAACCAATTCCCCACTCAGACCTAGTTTACAAATAAATGCATCCTTAACAGGCTTCCTTTTCCCCCATTCCCTAGATCAGTGTTCTGCTTTTGTACTTTGCTTTCATTTAAAAATAATCTTCCCCCTAAGAGCCAACAAGCCATTGTCTTATTTTTCTACAAGATTCCATTAAAAAATACTCATGCACTGTATCCAAATAAGTCTGTGAAAAGTGCCACAATTACTGTTTTGGGGCTATCATCCTAACTTTGGAATAAACATCTACTCAACATTTTGGGGCTCCCCACTAGGAAGTACCATTTTTAAAGTTACTTAAGTGTTCAAAAGCTAGGGATAAACTTCTTGTATTAATACCTTGGATGCATTTGTAAAGCAAAAACAAATTTATAGAATGAATTTAAAATTTAAAAAATGCAAATTAACTTAATTGGACAGATGATGTTTTGCTAAAATTAAATTGCAATGTAAATGTGGTACAGACTGCTACAGATTGTACCAATTTAATCTTCCACGGATGAGCCTAAGAGTATTTGTTTCCTCACAGCCTCACCAACACTGGGTATTATCAGACTTTTAAATTTAGCCTTCTGATGGGTGGAAAATGGTATTTTATTTTAATTTGCATTTCTTTAATTAGAGCTTAGATTATAAATGAATCTGCTGTAAACATTCCTATACAGGTCTTTTTTCTGGACTTGTATTTTCATTTTCTTGGATATGAACTGGAATTGCTATGTTATTAGGTGTATATATTTAACTTTATGAGATACTGCCAAAAGGTTTTCCAAGGTGGTTATACCATTTTACATTTCTACCAACAATGTAAGGTTCCACTTGTTTCTATCATCACCAACATCTGGTATTGTCAGTCTTTCTCAATTTAGCCATTCTGGTGCATGTGAAATGGTATCACGTTATGTTTGTAATTTACATTTCAACTGATAACTGCTGGTCTTTGCTTATTGGCATATTGGCTGCTCACATATCTTCTTTTATGAAGTATCTGTCTGTTCAAGTCCTTTGCCCACTGTTAGGTGGGATTGTTCTAGATACACATCCTTTGTCACATATATGTACCATGAGATTTTTCTTTTAGTCTAAAGCTAGTATTTTTTTTTCCTTAAAAATGTCTTTGATGAGCAAACTTTTTCATTTTGATGAAATTCAATTTATTGGGTTTTTTAAGTTTAGAGTTTTCTGGATTCTGTTTAAGAAATCTTTTCCAGGGACATCTGGGTGGCTCAGTGGTTGAGTGTCTGCCTTTGGCTCAGGTCATGATCCCGGGGTCCTGAGATCAAGTCTCCCATCAGGCTCCCTGGAGGGACTCTGCTTCTCCCTCTACCTATGTCTCTGCCTCTCTCAGTGTCTCTAATGAATAAATAAATAAAACCCTAAAAAAATCTTTTCCTACACTAAGGTCATAAAGATTTTTTTTTTATATCTTCTTCTAGGAGCATTGTAGTTTTTGCTTTCATATTAGGTCTGCTATTCATCATAAGTTAATTTTTATATATGGTGTGAGATAGGAGTCAAGTTTAATGTTTTTTTCCTATGCATTTATACAGTTTTTCCATACCTTTTGTTGAAAAGACTTTCTGGGGGAATCCCTGAGTGGCTCAGTGGTTTGGCTCATGCCTTCGGTCCAGGGCGTAATCTTGGAGACCTAGGATCGAGTCCCACATCGGGCTCCTGGCATGGAGCCTGCTTCTCCCTCTGCCTGTGTCTCTCTCTGTGTCTTTCATGAATAAATAAATAAAATCTAAAAAAAAAAAAAAAGGAAAGAAAGAAAAGAGTTTCTGTTCCTCATTGAATTGTTGTGGCACCATTGTTGGAAATCAGTTGAACTAGATATAAACTAGGTATAAAATTGAACTTTTATACCTAAATCAATTTGAACTCTTTTCTGTTATTTTGACCTATTTGTCCATAATTATATAGTACCATACATTTTTTATTATTGTAGTTCTATGTTAAGTTTTAAATCAAAGTGGTACAACCTTTTTCTTCATTTTCAAGATTCTTTTTCACTATTTTAGGTCCTTTTCATTTTCTTAAAAAATTTAGAATCCATATATTAACACCAATCTCTTACCAGCCCCCAAAAAAAGGCCATTAAAGATTTTTTTGGAACTGCATTTAACTTATAAATCAATTTTAGGGAGAATTTACATCTTAACAATATTGAGTCTTTTGATCCATGAATGTAGTGTATATCTCCATTTATTTAAATCTTCCTTAATTTCTCTTAGCAATGTTTTATAAAGGTCTTGCCAGTATTTTGCTAGAGTGATTTCTAGATATTTGAAAATATTGATGTTATTAAAAATAGTAGTGTTTTATTAATTTCATTTTTCATGTTTGCTGCGAATATATAGAAATATAATTGATTTTTGTATTTTGACTTTACATTGTGTGACCTTGTATCACTATTTTAAAAAAATTTCTCGGGCAGCCCCCGTGGTGCAGCGGTTTAGCACCACCTGCAGCCTGAGGTGTGATCCTGGAGACCTGGGATCGAGTCCCACGTCAGGTTCCCTGCATGGAGCCTGCTTCTCCCTCTGCCTGTGTCTCTGCCCCTCTCTCTCTGTCTCTATGAATAAATAAAATATTTTTAAAAAAATTCTCATTGGATTCCAATCTGTAGACACACAAGTTTGAACCCCTTGTTCTATATAACTAGGTTCTCAACCTTCCTGCATATTAAAATTATCTGGGAGAATTTTTTTTTCCTTTTTAACCAGGCTCCATGCCCAGCATGGAGCACCTCATGGAGCTTGAACCCATGACCTTGAGTCAAGACCCAAGTTGAGATCAAAAGCTGGATGCTTAGCTGACAGAGCCACCTAAGTGCCCCACTTGGGAGAATTTTTTTTAAAATATTGTGACTTTGGCCCACCCCTAGAATGGTTTGGGGTGGGGCTTGCCATTGGAATTTTTAAAATCTCCCCAGGTATTTTAATATGAGCTAGGGTTGAAAACCACTGCTATACACTTTTGCAAAAGTTTCTTAATAAATCTCATTCCCCCATTTATATATCTTCAAACTAACATCCAAATTTCTTAGAATGGCATAAACACTAGAAATTTTATAGCATCTACCTATCCATATGTAAAAATACTGCTTCGTCCTCTTTTACACTGGATGTCTGTCTATGTCTGCTCATTATAGTTGATTGCACCAGCAAGCTGTGATTTCTTTTTTTTTTTAATATTTTATTTCTTTATTCATGAGAGACAGAGGCAGAGGGAGAAGCAGGCTCCATGTGGGACTCTATCCCAGGACTGAGGGATCACGCCCTGAGCTGAAGGCAGACCCAGGCGCCCCAAGCTATGATTTCTGTGGCAAGGATTTGAAAGCTAAGCTAAGACAATCATAAGCCTTTCTTAAAATGTAAATTTGAGGGACACCTGGGTGGCTCAGTTGTTGGGTGTCTTGCCTTCTGCTCAGGGCGTGATCCTGGAGTTCCAAGAACGAGTTCTACACTGGGCTCCCCGTGGGGAGCCTGCTTCTCCCTCTGTCTCTGTCTCTGCCTCTGCCTCTCTCTCTCTCTCTCTCTCTCTCTCTGTCTCTCATGAATAAATAAAATCTTTTTTAAAAAATCTAAATTTGAGAAATGAAGAGGCTGAGGCAATTGGCAAAGAGATTAGAAAACAGAAAGATATATCAAGAGTTACCATGATAAGTAGGCAGCAGAGATAGTCTTTATGGGCTATTGGCAAGCCTAAATGCAAAAATTCTGAATAAACAAAAGAAAGCAATCCATAAAGAGGAAGGCCCAGTTCAAATGTCATCTCTTTGTACCTTTCTCTGACTTCCTTCCAGGAAGAAGTAATACTCTCCTGTGGATGTTCTCATGAAAACACATTGTGTTTTAGTTTTTTGTTTATGTCTCTCTTTTTAGGCTGTGAACCTTCCAAGTTAAGGACCATGTCTCATATATGTTTTTATATGAGACACCTTAGACACCTTTTATATGAACACCTTAGAAAAGGTGTTCACTAGGGGTTGTCTGGCTGGGTCAGTCAGTAGACCATGCAACTCTTGGTTGCAGGGTTGTATGAGCCCCATGTTAGGTATAGAGATTACTTAAAAATAAAATCTTAAAAAAAAAGTTGCTCATGAAACATTCAGATTAAATTTAATTGTGTAGCTGTTATACATTATCACTTCTGAAAGTCAAACATTGAATAATAGTAATGAGTAATTTATTTTTTCCTAGGCTTTTGAATTTTAGTATAAACCTTGTGCCCCGTGGTATACGTAATCCAGTCTCTACTGAAATTTTTCCTACTCTAACCAGGAATAAATATGGAACTGGAGCAGTTAGCATTCAAGCTGGCAGTGCTTTGCTAGCTAAAGGTGGTATCTGCTTTATAGGAGACTTGGCTTCACACAAAAAAGATAAACTAGAACAGCTTCAATCAGGTAAACAATATTTTTTTCTAATTAATTTTTACCTGTTTGATAGTATCATTATTGTCAAGGAGTTACTTAACAGCTTTGTATTGTACACATTTTAGGAATTGAGAAATTATATTAAATAATATTTCTCCTTTTACCTTTATAAATAAAAAGAGAAATTTAATATACAAATGCTCTGTTTTGGCTTTTGCCCTAAGTTGTGCTAACATGTAAGTTTTTATTGGCCCAGATTACTTTTCTTGTCTGCTGTTTTTAGCTTGGACTTCCACTCTGATGTTGAAAAACAGTGGTGAGGGGATCCCTGGGTGGCACAGCGGTTTGGCGCCTGCCTTTGGCCCAGGGCCCGATCCTGGAGACCCGGGATCAAATCCCACATCAGGCTCCTGGTGCATGGAGCCTGCTTCTCCCTCTGCCTGTGTCTCTGCCCCTCTCTCTCTCTCTCTGTGACTATCCTAAGTAAATAAAAATTTAAAAAAAAAAATCAAAAAAAAAAAAAGAAAGAAAAACAGTGGTGAGGGCTCCCTGGGTAGCTCAGTCATTTAAGCTTGTGCCTTCAGCTCAGGTCATTATCTTGGGGTCCTGGGATCGAGTCCCTACGGGCTCCCTGCTTCGTTGGAAGCCTGCTTCTCCCTCTACCTTTCTCTCTCTGTCTCTCATGAATAAATAAGTAAAATCTATCGCTTCTCCACCTTTTGGCTAAGATCAAGTGTAGTGTAGTATAGCCTTTTGGCTAAGATCAAGTGTAGTATGAATAAATAAGTAAAATCTTAAAAAAAAAGAAAAAGAAAGAGAAACAGTGGTGAAGAGAGAGATCCTTGTCTTATTCCTGATCTTAGCAGGAAAGTTTTGAGTTTGTCACCATTAAATATGATGTTAGCTATAGGTTTTTTATAGATATTCTTTTCCAAGTTGAGGGAGTTCTCGTCTATGGTGAAATACACATAACATAAAATTTACCATTTTAACCATTTTAAAGTGTATAATTCAGTGGCATTAAGTACATTCACAATGTTATGTAATCATTACTACTCTCCATTTCCAGAACTTTTCATAAATGCCTAACAGAAACTCTGTGCCCATTTATACAGTAACACCCTATCCCTCCCCCTACCTCCAGCCCCTAGTAACCTCTACTCTACTTTGTCTTTATGAATTTGTCTATTCAAGAATCTCTTTTCTCATTGCTGAATAAGATTCCATTTTATGTACATACCATTTTTTAAAATTCACTCATTTGTTGAGGGATGCTTAGGTTGTTTCTATCTTTGGCTGTTGTGAATAATGTTGCTCTGAACAGAGTCCAAGTATCTGTTTGAGTCCTTACTTTCAATTCTTGGGTGTATACCTAGAAGTGGAATGCTAGATCATAAGGTAATTCTGTGTTTAACTTAATGAGGACCCACCAAACTGTTTTCCACAGTGGCTATGCAATTTTACATTCCCACCAGTAAAGGATGAGGATTCTGATTTCTCCAGACCAATCTTATTACATTTCATAAATGATAAAATATTTTTAAAGGAAAAATCTTTACATATTAGTACTCTTAACAGTAGCTTTTCCCTTGCTTTTGATTAAGGAGCCCATATTTTTAGTCTACACTGGACCCACATATTAAGTAGCTGGCCCTGGCTACTAGAATGGCAAAAACTAAAAAGATTGACAACAAATGTTACCAGGGTTGTGGAAAAACTGGAATTCCTATATACTGTTGGTACATAGTACAACCTTTTTGAAAACTGTTCTAGCAGTTTCTATAGTGTCAAAAATATATACTTACCTTATGACCCAAGGGAAAGATAAATATAAGCAAAAGACTCTGTTATCATGAATGAAGGCTAATTTGATAAATATTTGGAAGATAGAATCTTAGGAATCAGAATGAATCCATACATTGAATGGTTGTAAGGGGTGAAGGAAGGATAAAAAGGAGATTATGTTACTTCTACTTTTTTTTACATGGGTTTTAAGTAGTTGGATGGTGATACCCCTAATTGTGAGTAATGTATACAGAGCCATTTGAAGAGGAGAAATGATGAATTTGGTTTTCAGCATGTTGGATTTGAGATATATTTTCCCCTAGTCGTTGTAGTTTATATTCTCTCTCAATCTTACTTACCCTCTTTCACTCTCACATATATGTCCTGCTTTCTTTTTTCCACATAAAAGAACATTGCTTAATTTCAGCCCCCCCTTGTAAGCATGAACTATATGATCAGTCTCTTAACACTCTGCCTATTCCACCCAGACACTCACCATAATTCCAGCTACATATTGTAGACTGTTGTTCTCATAAAGTCATGGGACACATAAACATTCAAATATTTTTCTTGTCTTGTTCTTTTTTTGGCAGAACCTCTAATTTTAGCCATGTCTTGCAAACAACCAATTTACTTGTGCCTTTACTGTCCAACACTTAGGCGGTAAAATGCTATATAATAGTATTTGTTATTAATTTGTAGAGATATAGACCAAAATGAACCTAAATAATAAATGGGTAATGTCTTTTGACCTAGTTTTGGAAAGCAGAAGCATCACAGTATACATCCCAGGAAAGAAGTTTGGGAATGATGTTAATCAACACATGACTTTTCCAGTTCAGTGCAGTTTTTGGTCTTTTGTTGATATGGATTCATCTTCAAGGAAAAATATGCAGAAAACCAACACTCTAATTGGTCAGATGGTAAGCTATATGTATATTTTACTTCTAGAATGTTCGGGGAATTTAATCACAGATTTTAATCTCAATATTTTTGTTGTTCTTAATGTTTTGTTATTAACCCATTCCTTTTTTTTTATTTTTATTTATTTATGATAGTTACACACACACAGAGAGAGAGAGGCAGAGACATAGGCAGAGGGAGAAGCAGGCTCCATGCACCGGGAGCCCGATGTGGGATTCGATCCTGGGTCTCCAGGATCGCGCCCTGGGCCAAAGGCAGGCGTCAAACCGCTGCGCCACCCAGGGATCCCTATTAACCCATTCCTATCTTTAATAGGATACTAGAGCTAAATAATGATGCAGTTATTTGAAATTTTTCATTTTTTTAGTGTGGCAAAGAAGGTGTCTGTTTACTAGAAATTATTATTTGAATAGGCAGTAGAGTAGGCTTTAATGAATAATGTATAAGAAAATAATACAGAGATACCTGGGTGGCTCAGTAGTAGAGTGTCTGCCTTTGGCTCAGTGTGTGATCCTGGAGTCCTGGGATCAAGTTCCCCATCAGGCCTCCTGCCTGGAGCCTGTTTCTCCCTCTGACTGTGTCTCTGCCTCTCTCTGTGTGTCTCTGATGAATAAATAAAGAAAATATTTAAAAGTAATAATAATAAAGAGCATTAAAAAATTGATAATATTGAGTTCCCTTGCTACTCAGGAATCATTTTAAATAATAATTAATAATAACAAATAATAAAATAAAATAAACAGTCCTATAATTTACTGTAATGAAATAATATTATAACTATGTTAGTAATTTAAATAATTATAAACAATACTTAATTTATAATTATTTCTAAAGTGTTTTTGGAAATGTCAGAGTTTAATGTTTGCATTTTACATTTTCATTTGATGTAGGATTGCAGTTTGATTCCAGCTAATCTTCTAGAGACATTTGGATTATTGATTAATTGCAATGAATCATCTTCTTTCTACCCACTTCTTTCTACTGTGCAACATACTTTAAAGAAAGCCATTGATCCTGAAGGGCAGCTTTATGTAGCTTCTAAGAACTTCACAACTGAAGATTTTGAAAAGGTACAGGTAGAAAAAATGAGTACCAAGCATATTTGTGCTAACGTTTCTCAGTTGAAATAGAATTCAAGCACTCAGTTTTCTTTATTAGATTTTTTTTAAAGATTTTATTTATTTATTCATGAGAGACACAGAGAGAGAGAAAGAGACAGCCAGAGAGAGAGAGAAAGAGAGAGAGAGGGGCAGAGACACAGGCAGAGGGAGAAGCAGGCTACATGCAGGGAGTCTGACATGGGACTTGATCCGGGTCTCCAGGATCATATCCCAGGTTGCAGGCATCACTAAACCACTGCGCCACCAGGGGTGCCTAGATTTTTTTTTTTTTAAGATTTATTTACTTATTCATGAGAGACACAGAGAGAGAGAGAGAGACAGAGACATGGGCAGAAGGAGAAGCGGGCTGGGAGCCCAATACAGGATTTGATCCCAGATCCCAGGATAACGTCCTGAGCCGAAGGCAGATGTTCAACGGCAAAGCCACCCAAGAGTCCCTAGATCTCTTTGATCCCAAGTCCCTTTCAACTTTTAAATATTTTAAGGGCATTGTATAGAAAATATTTAGGATTATAATTTAAAAACTGTATAAGGACATAAATATTGAGTTAATTGTTGAGTTGATTCTTTGCACAGCTCTCCAAATGACTTTTAAAAATCTCAATAAAAAGAAAACCAATAAATATAAGGGAAGGGAGAAGAAATGTGTGGGAAATATCAGAAAGGGAGACAGAACATAAAGACTCCTAACTCTGGGAAACGAACTAGGGGTGGCGGAAGGGGAGGAGGGCGGGGGGTGGGAGTGAATGGGTGACGAGCACTGAGGGGGGCACTTGACGGGATGAGCACTGGGTGTTATTCTGTGTGTTGGTAAATTGAACACCAATAAAAAATAAATTTATTTAAAAAAAACCAATAGAATATTTCTTTGGAAATTATGAGAGGCTGTATAGATGTAGTTATTTACATTTTATAGACTATTCAAAGGGATTAATTTTATATAAATGCCTTCAAAGTTCTGATTTAAGAGCATACCTGTCATGACTCCCCCATTTCAGTGTCCTGACATGAAAACACATGCAGCATATTCAGGGAACCTGAGAGTAGAGGATGTAAATTAGTAATGATGTTTATAGCTACTAAAGGTACACAAGTATACAAGTATTTACAAGTGATGCCCTTTTATTTTTTTTTTAATTTTTTTTTATTTTATTTATGATAGTCACAGAGAGAGAGAGAGAGAGAGAGGCAGAGACACAGGCAGAGGGAGAAGCAGGCTCCATGCACCGGGAGCCCGACGTGGGATTCGATCCCGGGTCTCCAGGATCGCGCCCTGGGCCAAAGGCAGGCGCCAAACCGCTGCGCCACCCAGGGATCCCAGTGATGCCCTTTTAATATTAACTCTTCAGAATCTATCAACAGTATAGTTAAAGTATCTGGATAGGATAGATAAAGGGCAGGGAATTACTGGAGTGGGAATCTATGAGTCATTAAAATTATTTTTCATACCTGCCTTCCTTGCAGGTAGATTGCTGGGTAAAAGGTTGAAAAGTGAGGAGGGCTTAAAACTGAATTATAAGCATTGTTTATTGACATAATTTAGAACAGAAAAAGAATATGATAAATTAGACCTTTTGTTTTATTTTATTATTATTTTTTTAATTTTATGTATTTATTCATGAGAGACACAGAACGGCAGAGACAGGCTGAGGAAGAAGCAGGCTCCATGCAGGGAGCCCAATGTGGGACTCAATCCTGGGACTCTAGGATCACACCCTGGGCCGATCACACCCTGGGCCGATCACACCTCAGTGCTAAACCGCTGAGCCATCCAGGTGTCCCTATTTTATTATTTAGTTAGTTATATTTCTTGGAGGAAAAGTGCAGAGGAAGAGAGAGAATCCTAAGCAGGCTCCATGACCAGCACAGAACCCAACATGGGGCTCGATCTCACAACCCTGAGATCATGACCTGAACCAAAATCAAGAGTCGGGTGCTTAACTGACTGAGCCACCCAGGCGCCCGTTTGTTTTAATATATAAGAAAAAAGTAGCTAGTCTCTAGGTATGAGAGTACTAAATATATAGACACACTAATGACCCAGGGAAATTTTCGCCCAGTTTTTCTCTGAAAAACAAAAACAAAAACCCTGGGATTTATTATTTAGGTAGTTACTGGATATCTTTATATATGAGCCTACTTCTGCTCTTTTATATTTTCACAGAAAAATAAATCTTCTTTATCATTTAATTGAGATAAAACAAGATATATGGAGCCATTAAGGGACAATTTAAGTGCTAAGCTGGGTGGTGTTAACTGCAAGTATTTTAGGAATTCAGGAGGGAAGATATCAAGTAGAATGCAAGAATTGGGAAGACTTCAAGGAGGTGAGATTTTAATTGAGCTTGAAGAAAAAGTAAGATTTAGATAATAGGAAGGATGGGCATTCTAAACAGAAATGAAAGTAGGAGCAAAGACAAAAGTAGAAATAAATATACATGGAAAACTATGAGGAGGGCAGCCCGGGTGGCTCAGGGGTTTAGCGCCTGCCTTAGGCCCGGGGCGTGATCCTGGAGTCCCAGGATGGAGTCCCACGTCGGGCTCCCTGCATGGAGCCTGCTTCTCCCTCTGCCTGTGTCTCTGTCTCTCTCTGTGTGTGTGTCTCTCATGAATAAATAAACAAAATTTTAAAAAAAAATTAAAAAAAAAAGAAAGAAAACTATGAGGAGAATTAGCTGACTGGAGTAGGAATTACATGATAGAGTCATTAGGATTAGGATTTGTCAAACTTACAATAAGCCTTGAAGCTGAGGCAAAAAAATTTATAGTTGATTCGTCAGACTAGAGAAAAGTTGTACTTTATTAGGCTTGTGAAACAGTGAAAATGATTTCTCCAGAAGATAAATCTGTCCATTACTCAAAACAAATTAGATAGAGTGTGTCACAGCCTGGGCTCTCCAAGAGGCTGACCAAGATGAGTTTAGTGTGCCATTGTTTATTCAGCAGTGCTCTTCTAGCACTTCTGTTAATACCTGTGGAAGGGATGGGGCTCCTGGGTGGCTCAGTGGTTGAGCAGTTGCCTTTGGCTCAGGTTGTGATCCCAGGGTCCTGGGACCAAGTTCCACATCACACTCCTTGCAGGGAGCTTGCTTCTCCCTCTGCCTAAGTCTCTGCCTTTCTCTGTGTTTCTCAAGAATAAATAAATAAAATCTTAAAACAACGACAAAAACCTATGGAAGGGAGAAGGAAGCAGAATTAGCAGTGAAAGGACTCAAGTTGTGATGCGGGTCCAAAGATAGCCCCACAAAGAGCTCTAGAGTTAAAGATACCCACCAGAATTGTTTTGCTTTGGACATAAATAGATGGACTTATTTTTATAACACTTGTCCCACTTCCACTTCAGTCAGTGATTTGATTATGGGCTGTCCTAAAGCATTCCCTGAAGGAGCCTGGAGGCCAATTCTAACAGCACTCCTGGTAGCTGGGAACAAATCATTTCCTAAAGGGGGAGATAGGTGGCACATTACTGTGATTCCATTGGGTAAAACTTGGAGAAGGCTACTGATATTATTAATAATATTATTATCCAGTTATGAAGGTCTAGAGGGTGAACCATGGAGTGTAAAGAGAATAAAGAAGACAGGATATACTCTAATGCAGGAGTACCCTAATCCTTTAAAAGGTTATATTTAAATATAATAGCAACCTTATTATCATAAAATTTTCCTTTTGATTCTGAGTTGAAAAACCAGAAAACAATCAGGATAATGAAAACTAGAAATGATTCCATGGATTAAGGATTTAAGGGACTGGGAATCCTTTGAAAGAAAAAAAGCACAAAACTCAGAGAAGACAGTGCTAATCATTTCGTTGAAAGCTTCTTCTCTCTTGGAAGTCTTAACTCAATCTCCAAGGCCCACCTTCATAGTAATTAACACCATACCTCCCACATTGCTAGTATTCAACTGTGTTCTTTAAAAGGAAGGAAGGGGGGATCCCTGGGTGGCTCAGAGGTTTAGCACCTGCCTTCGGCCCAAGGGGTGATCCTGGGACCAAGTCCCAGGTCTCACATCGGGCTCCCTGCATGGAGCCTGCTTCTCCCTCTGCCTGTGTGTCTGCCTCTCTCTCTCTCTCTCATGAATAAATAAAAATCTTTATAAAAAGAAAAAAAGAAATAAATTGTCAAAGAATTAAAGCCTTTCAAAGGGAAATGAGCTGCTGAAGGAAACCTTTTTCCCATTGAAAAAAATCTAAGTGAGCCTTTATTCGACTGGAAGCAGAGACTTGATAGTCATTCAAATACATTGCACAGAACATCTCTGTACTAAGAGGAAGAAAGAGATTATTCTGGCTACACTTCTAACAATATTTACAAGTATAAGACTATGAGTTCAAGTGCTTAATGACTTTGGAATGGCCCCAGATATTTAATCAACTTTGATATAAATAAAATATGCACACTTTGGGGTTTTGTCATATAGATTTTATAATAAAGTTTGAATATCTTTTTTTAAGTGTGAATTTCTTAAATTTCTCATATTTTTAATTTAGCTACTGGCTTTTGCAAAGAATTTGAATGTAGAATTCAGTTTGGAGGCAGAAAGAATGATTCATGGCTATTATCTAGCAAGTCGAAGAATCAGAACAGATTCTATAAGTGGATCAAAACTGTCAGCATCTGCATTAAAATATTTGTAGGTATTCAGTCTAAAATTTTAAAGCCAGTATTGACTTTTAAATGATGTGTTTAATTAACTTTATTATGTTTCACTTGTTTCTTTTTTTGTTTTATTGCTAGTTGGCTGGTTTATAATTTACCTTGTTCCAAAAGATTTTAAGGTGATTTTTTAACAATTCCTTTTGTTATACTGTTACATCGTTTGAACCTCCAGTACTTGTTTTCATGAAATTATTTTTTTACTGTAACCTCTGTATGAGATGTGTCTGAGTAAAGTGCAATGATTTCAAATGCAAATAATTGTTTTTTAAAATGTGGCTTTTTTATATTCCAGGTATTTTTTAGTTAAACCTAGAAAAATATCTTTTCAAGTACCTCGTTCCCTGTATTTTTAAATACTTTAATAGACTCATCTATTATTGTTCCTTGAAAAGTTATTTTAAAACCTGGGGCAGCCTGGGTGGCTCAGCGTTTAGCACCACCTTCAGTCCAGGGTGTGATCCTGGAGACTGGGGATGGAGTCCAACATCAGGCTCCCTGTGTGGAGACTGCTTCTCCCTCTGTCTGTGTCTCTTCCTCTCTCTCTGTGTCTCTCGTGAATACATAAATAAGATCTATTAAAAATAATAATAATAATAAATTTTAAACTAATTTTTATTATAAAGTATGGACACAGTAAAAGAAAAGTCTAAAATAATGAATAAGGTGTCCAGGTAACTCTACCCATTGCCATCCCACTCTCTAGAGAGATAATCACTGTTAACACTTTTTGTGTGTTCTTCCAAAAATTATCCATTCAAATACTAGCTTGTTCAAACATATGTAATTTAAATATATCATGTATATTTAATACATACTTTATTTCAATATTTTATATATTTTTAGATGAATATCTTAAACATATATATATGGATATATATATATATATGGATATATATAGATAGATAGATGGTCCCCAACTTGGGATGGTTTGACGTACGATTTTTCAACTTCATAATGGTGTGAAAAGGATACACATTTGGTAGAAATCATACTTTGAATTTTGAATTTTGATCTTTTTCCTGGCTAGCAATATATAGTAGGATACTCTCTCATATTGGGCAGGGATAGTGGGCCACAGTTCCCAGTCAGCCATGAGATTAAAAGGTAAGTAATTGGTACACAGACAACCATTCTATATCCATGCAGCCATTCTACAGTTCACTTTCAGGGCAGTATTCAATAAATTATGTGAGACTGTCAACATTTCATTATAAAATTGGCTTTGTTTAGATGATTTTGCCCAAGTGTAGGCTAATGTAAGTGTTTTCAGCATGTTTAAGGTTCAGCAGGATAACCTATGTTTGGTAGATTAGGTGTATTAAATGCATTTTTGACTTATGATATTTTTAGCTTACAGTGGGTTTATTGGGTTGTAAACCAATTGTAAGTTGAGAAAGCTATAAATATATCTATATATTCAATATGGGTAGATATTTTCCTTTTGCCCAAATGGAATCATGCATGATTTACATATTATAAGAACATAAGGAATTACCTTACTTTGTTTTAATAGCTGCATTACTGTGTTCTGATGTGGCTGTACCATAATTTAAACAGTCTCCTGGGACTCCTGGGTGGCTCAGCGGTTGAGCATCTTCCTTCGGCTTGGGTCGTGATCCTGCAGTTCCGGGATCAAGTTCCGTATCGGCCTCCCTGCATGGGCCTCCTTCTCCCTCTGCCTTTCTCTCTGTGTCTCTCATTAGTAAATAAATAAAATCTTTTTAAATAAATAAATAAACAGTCTCCTATTGATAAACCATTACTTCATTTGATATAAATTAATGTGTAATCTCAAGCAAATCATGAAGTAGGACCAGCAGTAAAATAATCCATTAAATAGGGGATCCCTGGGTGGCTCAGTGGTTTAGCACCTGCCTTCAGCGAAGGCATGATCCTGGAGACTCGGGATCAAGTCCCACATCGGGCTCCCCGCATGAAGCCTGCCTCTCTCTCTCTCTCTCTCTCTCTCTCTCTGTGTGTGTGTGTGTCTCTCATGAATAAATAAATAAAATCTTAAAAAAAATAATCCAAAAAAATAATCCATTAAATAAATATCTTGTTACAACTACAATAAAAAGTAAGTGGAGGATTGGCAGGAAATGTCAGATATAGGTCTACAGGAGATAAATATGTTTAGTTAACTTTTCTAGTTATATATTTATCTTCATAGAGATGATAAAAAGTGCTGAAGAGAAAGTAGAAATCAAGTGTGATGTTCTAAAAATGGTAAATGGAATTTTGTAATGTTTTCCATTTTCTGAAGTAATATTTAAAATACTCAAATCAGGAGTGCCTGGCTGGCTCAGCTGGTGAGCCATGTAACTCTTGATCTTAGCATCATGAATTTAAGCCCCACATTGGGTATGGAGCCTACTTAAAAATTTTTTTTAATAATAAAATACTCAAATTAACACTCAAATACTCAATACTCAAAGCCTTGGAGATCCTATTTTCTCATATTTTTTTTCTCTGTAGCAAAAAGATATTTATTCAAAGCCATATAGCCTCAGTTTACATCTGACTATATTGAACCAAAAATAAAGCAGAGTTAAATTTAATGTAACTCTGCTTCTTCCAATTGTAGAAATAAACACTAGAGATGGAGATGGAGTTTATGAAATAGCAAAGTAAATAAAATTCAAAAGGATCATAAACTTAAAATTTTTCAGGCAGCCCTGGTGGTGCAGTGGTTTAGTGCCGCCTGAAGCCCGGGGTGTGATCCTGGGGACCCTGGATCGAATCCCATGTTGGGCTTGCTGCATGGAGCCTGCTTCTCCCTCTGCCTGTGTCTCTGCCTCTCTCTCTCAGCGTGTCTCTCATGAATAAATAAACAAAATCTTAAAAAAAAAAAACTTAAAATTTTTCTTCTGCTTCTATAGTCGGGTACCTAATAACAGCATCCTTGCTTTTCTAGAGTAGAGCTGAACAGGACTTTCTTTTCTTTCCCTGAAAGGCTTTGTCTATATTCTGTTGTGGTCAACATTTTTAAAGGATGAGGACATCAGGAACATGATAGTCATATTTGAAAATAAATGGAGAGTTCTCCATAGACTCAAATGATGATCTAACCAAGAATGAATGGATAAGAAAAATTTGATGGCTTAATATGAAAAAAATTTGAGATTTCATTCTTTTTATGTTTAATATGGGTAAACAGTGTAATATGGCTATTAATATTACTGTGAATTCAGGTTGTGTTAATAGAATATAGTATCAAGAGTTTAAAAAAATGCTAGTTCTGCCTCACTTCTACATTGCTGGTTAAATCACACCTGTAGTACTGTACTGAAAAAGAATATTAACTAAATCTGGTCATGATGAAAGTAGCCAGAATGATGAAGAGCCTGAAAGTTATGTCTTATGACATATTAAAAGAGCTAGGAATATTTTATTTTGGAGAAAAGAAAATATAGGTCAACTAGGAAAGTTGTCGTTGAGTATTTGAAGAGCTGTCATATTTAAGTAGTATTAGGCTTGTTTTATAATCTCAGAAAACAGAACCAGGGACCAGTGGGTAGAAATTTAAGTGAAACCGGGATGCCTGGGTGGCTCAGCGGTTGAGCCTCTGCCTTCAGCTGAGGGCATGATCCTGGAGTCCCGGGATTGAGTCCCTGCGTGGAGCCTGCTTCTCCCTCTGTCTGTGTCTGCCTCTCTCTCTCTCTCTCTCTCTCTCTCTCTCTCTCTCTCTCTCTCTCTCTGTCTCTCATGAATAAATAAAATATTTAAAAAAAGAAATTTAAGTGAAACCAATTTCAGCTTAAATTTATATAATCATTGTGAGTCCCAAAATTTTCAAATGCTTTATTTGAAATCGTAACTGAATTATTATTGTCCCCATGTTATACCTGAGCTTTAAAAAAAAAAAACTCAGAGGGCAGCCCCGGTGGCGCAGCGGTTTGGCGCCGCCTGCAGCCTGGGGTGTGATCCTGGAGACTCGGGATCGAGTCCCATATCGGGCTCCCTGCATGGAGCCTGCTTCTCCCTCTGCCTGTGTCTCTGCCTCTCTCTTTGTGTGTCTATGAATAAATAAATTAAAAAAAAAAACTCAGAAAGGGGCACCTGGGAACTCAGTGGTTGAGCGTCTGCCTTTGGTTCAGGTCGTGATCCTGGAGTCCTGGAAACAAATTCCCTATCAGGCTTCCTGCAGGAAGCCTGCTTCTCCCTCTGCTATGTCTCTACCTCTCTCTCTGTATCTCTCATGAATAAATAAATAAAATCTTTAAAAAAAAGAAAAACCCTCAGAAAGTAAATGATTTATATGAAGTCACAGAGATAGTAAATTCTAAAGCCTTAACCCAGGTTTTCTGATTTCCAAGTTCAGCATCATTCAATATGCCTAATGAAAGCTTGAGGGAGGGGCACCTGGGTCCCTCATTGGTTGAGCAGCTGCCTTAGGCTCAGGTTCTGATGCCAAGGTCCTGGGATCTAGTACTCTATCAGGCTTCCTGCGGGGAGCCTGCTTCTCCCTCTGCCTCTCTCTTTGTGTCTCTCATGAATAAATAAAATCTTTTTAAAAAGAGAGAGAGAGCTTGAGAGTTGCTTTTTTTTTTTTTTTTTTTTTTTAGGTAATCAAAGCTTAGTTTAAAAATAAAAGGTGGGGATCCCTGGGTAGCTCAGCGGTTTAGCGCCTGCCTTTGGCACAGGGCGTGATCCTGGAGTCCCGGGATCGAGTTCCGCATCAGGCTCCATGGAGCCTGCTTTGTCCCTGCCTCTCTCTCTGTGTGTGTGTCTCTCATGAATAAATAATTAAAAAAATAAAATAAAATCTTAAAAAAAATAAAAGGTAAAGGAATGGATTCCTAGTGAGCCCTAGGAAAAGTTCAAAAGAGACTGGACAATAAGTAACCTGAAATGTTGTAGAGAAGATTCAGTTTTATCTGATGGAGTCTGAACTTTAAGGTTGCTTCCAAAACTAAAATTTCAAGATTCTGAGGACTTTAAATAGATGAAGAACTGGAAGAAAGCACCAAAGATATCTATTAGAGATATTTAGTTTGGTTAATTTTCCCAGTTGTGTATTTATCTGAACAGAACTTGGGGAAGAAGGTGTAGAATAATAAAGATAAGCCAGGGTGGAAACCAAGTGTTTGATAACAAGTCAGGGTATTTGCTTGCTCTGGAACAGTCTGTTGAATTTGGTAGGAAAAAAATGCTTTGAAAAGAAACTAAATTTTTTTAAAGATTTTATTTATTAATTCATAGAGGCACAGAGAGAGAGAGAGAGAGAGAGAGAGAGAGAGGCAGAGGGAGAAGCAGGCTCCACGCAGGGAGCCTGACGTAGGACTCGATCCCAGGTCTCCAGGATCATGCCCCCGGCTGCAGGCAGCGCTAAACCACTGCGCCACTGGGGCTGTCCCTAAATTTTTATTTTATTTTATTTTATTTTATTTTATTTTATTTTATTTTATTTTATTTTATTTTATTTTATTTTATTTTCATTTATTTATGAGAGAGAGAGAGAGAGAGAGACAGGCAGAGGGAGAAGCAAGCTCCATGCACCGGGAGCCCGACGTGGGATCCCCGCCCCTAAATTTTTTTTTTAAGTAAAAATATGCTGTTCTCTAAGGTATGGTTATGTATACATATGCCTTCATGTGTTCCTGCCAAAATATATATTATCTTTTAAAAATATTTTTTTAATTTATTCTTGAGAGAGAGAGACACAGGCAGAGGGAGAAGCAGGCTCCATGCAGAGAGCCCAATGTGGGGCTGGACCCCAGACTCCAGAATCATGCCCTGAGCTGAAGGCAGATGCTTAGCCACTGAGCCACCCACGCGTTCCAAAATATATATTATCTTTATAAAATCCACATATTTTGATTAGCATCAATTTTCTTTTTCAGAGTTTCCCTAGCTGAAGCCCATGCTCGACTGAGCTTAAGGAATAAAGTGCTTAAAGAAGATGCACTAATTGCAGCCTTATTATTTGAAACATCTCTCACACTGAAATATGGTAATTTCTTAATTTGTTAATGATCACTATAAATAATTTAAATATTATTAGTCTTTTAATATGTTATATATATTTTAAATATGATTTTAAACAATAATAAATTTTTATCAGGTAAGGCTTGTTGAATTTGAACACTTACTAATTGTATATAGGTAGTATCATCTGTAAGTTCCTTGTTGTGCATGATTGCTCGGATACTTAAACTTTTGCATTGCTTACAGAATTCTGAAAAAAACATGTACTTAATACATGAAGTGATTTTCAATTTATCTTCCTTGTCAAATAACATGCAACATTTAATTGTCAAGCAGTCCCCCTCAATGGAGTTAGGAAAAGAAAAGGTGATCATCTGGCGTCACCTCCTTTCTGAATTGCTAGCTATACTAATCCTGTGACTATTGCGTTTAATTATTTATAGTGAATTTGAGCTTATGTGGTTTTGCTAAAAAAAAATGTAAAAGGACTCTTAAGAGTAAAGAGAGTCATTCTCCCAAAGGTCTTTGTTGAATTGGATGAGACATTAATTTTGATAAGATATTACCATCCTTGAAAACAAACTTTGGGGACATCTGGGTGGCTTAGCGGTTGATCGCCTCCCTTTGGTCCAGGGAGTGATCTGGAATTCTGGGATCAAATCCCATGTTGGGCTCCCTGCATGGAGCCTGCTTCTCCCTCTGCCTGTGTCTCTCATGAATAAATAAATTAAATCTTAAGAAAAAAAAGCGAAAACAAACTGGTTTCACCCTTGGGACTTAAAGGATGTATTAACACTGACTTTTCTGTGTATATATGTTCAGTGCTTATATTTGCCTTAAATTCAATTTATATAGTAATGACTTTTTGCAGAGATTCATTACAACATTAGGACTTTATTCTATAGTTATCTAAACCCAAGCATTCTTATCCTGGGATTCATGGATACTTAGAGATAAGTCTAGAGGCTCATGAATCTCTAAATTATATAAACATTTTTATATGTATGTGCTTTATAAAACCTTTTTTATAGACAAATGAATGGTACATTTTATGAAGTATGTCTTATAGGTTCATGACCCCTAGAAAAAGTTAATTATCATGCTGAATTAATTTGTGTACCAAAGGAGAAAAGCATTGGTTCCCAAGCAATGCTAAATAAGAGGAATGATATAAAAATATATTTTTGATTTTTTGATTTTTTAAAGATTTTATTTATTTGTTCATGAGAGACACAGATAGAGGCAGATACATAGACAGAGGGAGAAGCAGACTCCCCACAGGGAACCTGATGAGGGACTCGATCCCAGGACCCTGGGATTACTCACCCAGGCCAAAGGCAGACACTCAACAGCTAAGCCACCCAGGTGTCCCAAAATATTTTCGTTTTTAATTTGCTTTATCTTTTACATTCTCCTTTTACTCTTTTTAAAAAGTTTTGGGGTTTTTTGTTTTTTTTAAAGTAATCTCTACACCCAGCATGGATCTCAAACTAGCAATCCCAAGATCAAGAGTCACATGCTCTACTGATTGAGTCAGCCAGGTGTTATTTTTTACATTCTTCTTATTCTATACTTAAAAGCATTCTTGATAAAAAAAAAAAAAACTAGCACACATTTTTTTATGTACTGTAACGAAAAATTGCTGCCAATTTTAGTATGGCATGCCATCAAAATTGTTAAGATGCACCTAGATTTCAGTAAGACAAAAATGTGTGTCTTTGAACTTAAGAACTATGTTATAATATTAAGGACTCTTGTAGTAGAATATGGCAATTTTGGTAACTGTTTTGTCAAGACTTTCTTGAAGCATTTAAGAAAACATTTGCTGAGGAAAATAAAACTGTGAAGATTTTTTTTCCTTTAGTTTTTGTTTTCAGAATGAATTTGTTAGGTATATTTGATTTTTATTTATTTGAGGGAGAGACAGAGAGTGAGAGAGAGAACAAGCACAAGTGGCAGGGGGGAGTGGGCAGGCAGAGGGAGAGGGAGTAGACTCCCCACCAAGCAGGTAGCCCAGTGCAGGACTCAATCCCAGAACCCTGAGATCATGACCTGAGCTGAAAGCAGATACTTAACCGACTGAGCCACCCATGTGTTCCTGATTTGTAAGTCTTAAGCAAAAAATCAATGTTAAGAGATCCTTAAGTGTTACTTTAAACATAATAGGAAATTGGAAAGAAAGGAAAAAGGGAAAAAAACAGCAGGAAATTGATTCCTACTCAAGTACATTTTTCTTGGATGCAAAAACCAATAGGTTGTCCTGGGACAGAGGGCAGACGGAAGAATTAAGAAAACTTCCAAGTTTCTAAGTTTCTGCCTTGAGCAATTAAGTGGATCATGGAACTATTTATCAAGACTAGGAAAAAAAAGGGTTGGGTGATAAACCAAATTATAGATTTAAGTTTGAGGGATCCTACAGAGATACCAAAAGAGAGAAGAATCTGGAGTTTAGATGAGAGTTCTAATTTAAGAAATTTAATTTGGGGGGGATCCCTGGGTGGCTCAGTGGTTTGGTGCCTGCCTTTGGCCTGGGGCATGATCCTGGAGTCCTGGAATTGAGTCCCGGGATTGAGTCCTGCATTGGGCTCCCTGCATGGAGCCTGCTTCTCCCTCCTCCTGTGTCTCTGCCTCTCTCTCTCTCTCTCTCTCTCTCTCATGAATGAATGAATGAATGAATAAATAAATAAATAAATAAATAAATAAATCTTTAAAAAAAGAAATTTAATTTGGGAATCATCAGCAGAGAGATGGTACTCATCACTGTGGAATGGATGAAATTCTCTGAAATCCCCTAGAGAAAGACTTTATACAAAGAACTTCAGGTGCTCGCTTTAGCAGCACATATACTAAAGTTAGAACGATACAGAGAAGATTAGCATGGTCCCTGCGCAAGGATGATAGTCAAATTCATGAAGTGTTCCATATTTTTCTCTCTCATGAAAATAAATAAATCTTCAAAAAAAGGGTTTTTTTTTCAAACGCTTCAGGACTGCCCTTGAGGAATTTCCACATTTAGAAATGGAGTTGAGGAGGAAGAGAAACTAAAAAAAACTGAGAAGTAGGAGCTAAAATGTGGAAAGAAAATCAAGTGTAGTTATAAATGATTAGATTTGGCAATCTAAAGGATATAGGTGGCCATCATCAGTGCTACTTCAAAGGGTTGGTATTTGGGTGGGATAAGAAGTGAGGATATGGAAATAGCACACAGACAACTTTGAGATGTTTGACTATAAAGATGAGGAAAAACAATGGGTAGAGAAGGATGTGTGGTCCAAGAAAAGATTTTTTTAAAGACAATAGGTCTTATGATGTGCAATAGAGAGTAAACTAATGATACTACAGATACTAAAAAAATGAGAGGATGAAATCCAGAGTACATGTGAAAGATATTGGTCTCTAGTAGAAAAGTCACTTCATGGGATGCCTGAGTGGGTCAGTGGTTGAGCATCTGTCTTCGGCTCAGGGCGTGGTCCCAGGATCCGGGATCCAGGATCCGGGATGGAGTCCCACATCTGGCTCCTTGCAGGGAGCCTGCTTCTCACTCTGCCTGTGTCTCTGCCTCTCTCTGTGTATGTCTCATGAATAAATACATAAAATCTTTAAAAAAAGTTCATTTTATAAGACAGAGGACAAATGGGCATAGAATCAGGTCTATAGATTTGGTCATAGACTCTACACAAGGTCACCAGCTAAAACGCTTGAGAAGAATGGAATATAATAGTTGCATTGTAGGGGACAGGAGAACACTTGTGCTAGACAAACCCAGCAGGGTCTTCTGGCAGTGCAAGTGCCTACCATCTGAGGTTTCTGTGATTCATTTAAAGTGAAACCAAGAAATGCCAATTAGGTGATTCTCTGCCTAACAGCCCAGAGTGCAGACATAAAGTAAATAGTTGGGTTCATGCAGAATTGAGGTTTTGATAGGGGAGTGTGACAGGCAAGGGACAAGGGAGTTGAGGGACTGGCTTGGGAAAGAATCTTAAATAGGTTAAAAGAGGGAAGTGAATTGAAGGAAGCCAATTGGAGGTTTCAGAGAGTCCAAGAAACTAGAAGTAGAAGAGGTAGTGTAGGGAAGGGGGACATTTGAACTCATGGCTTTGAAATAAGTTTTTGGTGATTTCAGTTTCCTATGACCTTTCTATGCATAGTGGAGGTAAAAGGGATAAGGTCAAGACAGGGAGGTCTGGAATTAAATGGGTAATTCACATGGAAATCACTGAATGGCAAGTATTAGGGAAGAGAGGAAGATTGTGAGCCATGTGCTAACAACTGGTTGTTGACTTTACCATGGAAGGCAAAGGGTAATAAAGCCCAAGTGGCACTGGGCATTAGAGGAAAGATTTTTTTAAAGAGTTTTAATCATTTTTTAAAAAAAGATTTTATTTATTCATGACAGACAGAGAGAGAGAGGCAGAGACATAGGCTGAGGGAGGAGCAGGCTCCATGCAGGGAGCCCAGTGTGGGACTCAATCCCCCAACTCCAGGATCACACCCTGAGCCAAAGGCAGATGTTCAACCACTGAGCCACCCAGGCGTCCCTAGGGGAAAGATTTTTATGAAGAGGAAAGCAGGGGTGAGAATGGTTTGGTAGCAGCAAAGGGGCAGCAAGTTAGGCACTGTTTCTGTCTTGTGATACTAAGGTATGAGGGGTGTTTTGAGAAAAAGCAGCTTCACTTGAGAATGCCACAGGGAAGAAAGCAGTGTTCGCAAGGGACAACAAAGATTCAGGTAAGCTAAAGAGAGTAGTAAAGGAGACAGTCACAGAAGTCTGAGGCTATATAAATGTTTACTGATGACAGACAGCTCTAAAAGAGAGGCACTGTCTGCTTGGCTAGCAGCTGTACGCCTGGCCAGTCACAGTAGTCATTCAGTGAATCAACAATGAAACAGGAGTTTACTCCTACAGTAATAGCCAAAGGTTTTTTTTCTTTTAAATTGTGGTAAAATACACATAACATTTACTGTCTTAACCATTTTCAAGTGTACAGTTCAGTGGTCCATTTGCATTGTTGCCTCCATCCATCTCTTTAACCTTTTCATTTTCCCAAACTGAACTCTGTACCCATTAAACCGTAACTCCCCAATCTCGACTTTCCCCAGGCCCTGGCAACCACCATTCTATTTTGATAAAATTGACTTCCCTTTGTACTTCGTATAAGTAGAATCATGTGTTTGTCCTATTTTGTCCTGCTTACTTCATTTTGTATAATGTCCTCAAGGCTTATCCATGTTGTAGCATGCATTAGAATTTCTTTCTTGTTCAAGATTGAATATTCTGTGTATGTATGTATACACACACACGCACACACATTTTGTTTATCCATTCATCCAACAATGGACCTTAGGTTGTTTCCACATTTGCCTATGATGAATAATGCTATTAACATGAGTATACACTTAGCTCTTTGAAACCTTGCTTTCAGTTCTTTTGGGTATATACCCATAAATGAAATTGCTGGGTCATATAGTAACTTTTTGGATAAACCACCATACTGTTTTCTATAGGGGTTGTACCACTTTATATTCCCGCCAACAGTACACAAGCATACCAATTTTCTTTACAACCTTGCCAACATTTTTTTTTTTTGGTAGTAGCCATCTTTATGGGTGTGAGGCAGTATCACAGCATTTTCCTAATGATTAGTGATATTGACCATCTTTTTATGTGCTTATTGGCTACTTGTATATCTTCTTTAGAAGAATGTTCTCTTTTGCTCATTTTTGAATTGGGTTTTCTTGTTGAATTGTAGACCCCCTATCAAACATGATTTCCAAATATTTTCTCCCATTCTATGGGTTGCCTTTTACTGTGTTAATTGTAACATTCGATGCACCAGTTTTTTATTTTGACATGGTCTAAATTACCTGTTTATTCTTGTTGCCTATGCTTGTAATATTCTAGAAATCACTGCCACATCCAATGTCATCAAGTATTTCCCCAATCTTGTTTTAGTTATGTTTAGGTCTATAAGGTACGAGAACTTCATTCTTTTTTGTACGGATATTCTTTTCCCAGTACACTTGTAAACTGGTCTTTGTTTCCCCCATTGGTCTTGGCACCCGTATCAAAGATCATTCAACCATGTATTTGAGGGGTCATTTCCAGGCTTTTTCTATTCCCTAGGCTTATGTCTGCCTTTATTTCAATGGTTTTAAATAGAGAAACATACAATGATGTCTTTATCCTCAATCATCCACTTAATCTTTATCAAAAGTTTCCCTACCTTCTAATACCTTCTCTCCCCTACTTCTTCCACCTCCTCACGTCACTATTCAGGTTCAAAATGTAATGACTAGGTCAACAGATAACAGATTTCTGTAGTTCCTAAACTTTTTGTTTTTTTTAAAGACTATTTATTCATGAGAGACAGGCAGAGGGAGAAGCAGGCTCCACGCAGGGAGCCCAATGTGGGACTTGATCTCAGGACTCTAGGATCACGTCCTGGGCCAAAGGCATACACTCAACTGCTGAACCACCTAGGTGTCCCACTAGTTCCTAAACTTTAAAATGTGATCAACATACTTCTTGGCACTCGTAAGTTTGTGCATGTACTGAAACTTTCATGAGTCTCAAAATCAAGTCAGCTTTATTATTTTTTTTATTTAAGATTTTATTTATTTATTCATGAGAATACAGAGAGGAGAGAGAGAGAGGCAGAGGGAGAAGCAGGCTCCATGCAGAGCCTGACGCGGGACTCCATCCAGGGTCTCCAGGATCATGCTCTGGGCTGAAGGCGGCGCTAAACCGCTGAGCCACCCGGGCTGCCCTCAAGTCAGCTTTAAATGGTTATTGAAATACTCTACTAAATAGTTCAGAACCTAATTCTTTACTTTTTTTTAATTCTTTAATTTTTTAAAGATTTTATTTATTCATGAGACAGAGAGACAGAGGCAGAGGGAGAAGCAGGGTCCATGCAAGGAGCCCAATGTGGGACTCGATCCTTGGACTCCAGGATCACGTCCCCAGCCAAAGGCAGGCACTAAATCGCTGAGCAACCCAGGCATCCCCAGAACCTAATTTTAAAACTTTAGTTGAAAACGGTTTCACATTTAGCACTTCAAGGACTTCTTTACACTTTGTTTCCTTCTTTACTTAGGGGCCACTGTATTTTGTGTTGCTCCGAGTGCAGTATTTCCGTTTGAATTGTATAATGAAGAGTATTTAGAGCAGAGGGATATCTATTTGACTCAAAGCCAACAGCAGCTCCAGCAGTTTATTGCCACATATGGACCTGGGACAGCTATTTTCACTAGTGATGAATAAGCAATCGGAGGACATATTTAAGCAGTGAAAAGGGACTTTGAAGTAATGCTTCAGGTACTACTATGTACAGTAATGCATTAGAATGCTATCTTAAATGTATGAAAGATGGTCTCAATATGAATTTAGAAATTAAGCAATGTAAAAAATGGTCACTTTTATGTAATTCCCTCTATTTGTCACAAGATGGCAATACTTTAAATGAGAATATTTACCTACAAATAAGTTATTTTAAACCATTTTTCTTGCACCTGAGAACCTGACAAACGAACTGAGTAAATAACAGCAATTTATATAAACAGAAGCCTCAAACTGAAGGATGTTTCATATTTTATTACATATCATTACATCTATTATAATTTTGGAAGCCCTAATTATGAAGTCAGGGAAAGCTTGGGTATTTCCCATATTTTATAAGCCAAGTTAAATGATAATAATTTAAGTCAAATCAAGGAGCAAGAATTGGCTTTTTAAACCTAACTGGTTATAAGAAAGTTACCAAAGGCAAAGAAACCAATTTGCAAATCCAGTCTGTTTTCGGAGGGAAGAGTTCTATTCTACTCTGAATAGTGAGGAAAATATACTTAAGTTGTAAAATCCACAAATCCTTTTAATTTTTCAAAGGCTTAATAGAAATTCTAAAATAAATAACCCTGATTCTTTAGAAACTGTACCTCATGGAACTTAACCATAAAGATGGACAGGTCTCTCTACAAACCTTTGACAAGTCATTCAGTAGTGATAATTCACTAGTCCCAGAAACCTAAATTCCATTTTAAGAAAGTAAAGCTAGTTTTTAAACAATTTATATATTACAGCTCTGTAATTCTAGTTAAAACCTTATCTTGTGGCTTCTTTGTTGCTATACAGGTTTTGTACTGTTTGACTTGCCATACTGAAATTATAACCTGGATAAAAGCAAGTAATTTATATATTGTGACTCAATAGGGTTGAAAAGTAAGATTTACCTAAGTCTTCAGTTAGGAATTCGGTTTTAGAATTATTGTAAATCCTCAAGTCCTGGACAGACTAGACTGTCCAGTCACTATTTTCCTTAATGTAACATACTTGTACAGGCATCAGGATTATTTTTTTCCAGAGCAATTAATGTTTTTAATTTTTTTTCATTAACATTTATTCATGAGAGAGACAGAGAACAAGGGAGGGGGGAGCAGAGAAACTTGACTCCACACTCAGGGCAGAGCCTGACACGGGGCTTGATCTCACAACCCAAGCAGAAACCAAGAGTTGGATATCCAATCAACCGTACCACCCAGGCACCTCAGGATTACTTTTTTTATTCAGAGGTAAAAACAAAGAATAAAATAAGATTTAATCTTAAACTCTGTAGGTCACAGGTATAATCTTTACTTGTAAGGGATAATTCATTAAGGTGGTTAGGAGATTCTAAATACTCGTTTTTAGGTATAGTAGCAGGTTCTTAAGGGGAGGTGTCCATGGTTATCTAGTTTGCTGAAATCCCCTAAGGCAAGAAAAGGCAGGAGAACTGGAGGTACTGGACTGTTTCCCCAGCTGACTGCCCCCTCAAAGGTTGTCATTCCACAAATGAGCTAGTTATTGACAAGAACATACTATCCTTAAAGTATGTTAAAAAACAGTCTGACTAGTAATTATAAGAATCGAACTGTTTAAACATTTGATATATTTTAAAGATTAATTCTTTATTGCCTAGCAATTGTAAGTATTCAAACATATATTTTTCTATATAACTTATTGATTACCTCACAATAAGTTATATAGAAAAATATATGTTTGTTATATAGAAAAATATAACTTATTGTGAGGTAATCAATGTTAAATAAAATATTAATTTTCAACATGTTTCGATTCATCTCTTCTTGACCAATTCTTCATTTTTCCTTCCAATTGCATGCCTCTAGGGAAAAAAAAAAAATCAGAAACCAATAGTGAAAATCATTCCATAGTCAAAATCAAATGAACTCTTACTCCTGATACACACAGGCAACATTAACAGGAAATGGCCCTAGCCCTTTGGAGTTTCAGATCCTTTTGAATTATTAGTAGCTGTGATTGCGTGACAAATTTTAATTAATTACTTGAGGCAACGAAGAATTTCAATCACAAAAGTTATGGACGAGAATATTCATCTGCAGCTACCTATATGCTGAAAAGAACATTTCACTCATTTTAATAAAAAATTGTATTATACTTGAGTAGTTCACATAAATATTATAGGCTACTGGCATCTCAGTCTTAAAATTATTTCTTCAAAGAAACCCTCAGCTGGGTAAACGGCAAAAAATAATTTAAGTCATCACTGTGCCAGTTTTTAACCTATGTAAAAAATGTATTAAACATTTTTGGTACTGCTCTTCATAACAGTACCACAAATACATAAAAAAAAGCACAATTAACATTAACTTTTGGTACCTCGTTACATGCAGTTACGTTCCTAGTGTTTTATCACAGCCATCCTCTAAGTGGTTTCTGGAAAACAGGACAACCTTCATTCATCTTCACGTCACAGGCTCTGCTGCACAGGGAAATTAAAATATTTTGAGTGCTCATTTGTACTTGAATCTGCTTGTTTGGCATCTTACATGTAAGAACCATCCAGTAAGATTTTTTCCCCTTCTTGTCAGAAACCATAAACATATTTGTGACCTTCCTGACTCCCAGAATAACTTTTTAATAAAAACTACTAAAAAACAAAAAAACAAACAAAAAAAAAAAACTACTAAAACCGAGGCCATATACTGGAACAATTTTCTGTTAACATGTTTTTTAAGGAACAAAGTACTTTCTGCTTAATTCTACTTTTTTGGGGTACTCAAAACAGATAAACCCAAATTTTAAATTTCTATTAGTACTTTTGACTGTTTAGGCCCTAATAATTCCATAAATGATCCTTCCAAGCTGGAAATGGGCTTATTAGCATGGACAGAAAAAACGGTGTATACAATGTTCTTTACCTTGGCAGTATCGATTTTAAGACATGATGGTCCTAATGAGTACCTAACCATTGCTTTTCTGTCTCAGAGCTTGACAAGGAGATGAGTCAGGTTAAAGGTTACACATATAGAAACAAGTGTGCAGACTTCCAACTAAAGCATCACAATGGCAAATCTAATACAGCTTTAAAGCAGATACATTATGCTGGCATCATTATTGGACAGTTTTGTAGAATTAAATCCCAGGTTGCCTGAAAGCACACGTAGGTAGTGCAAAGGGAACGGCCAGGGCCACAGATCATATCCCACAGCACCCAGGAGGATAAATCACTGAACCAGACAGCTACTGGAGATGATTTATGAAGACACATCAAATGTTGGACCTTGCAAAACAATTTATCATTTTCAAGTCTGGAAATACTTTCACATAATCAATATTAGGAACACAAACTATTAGTTATGAATAATTCCAAAGGGAAGAGTTCAGTGTAATGAGATTCACAGGAACTACTGACAACCACATGCATAATCCCATTTGTGTAAAGCCTACAAGAATGTTTAGGGACACATGTTTGTTTAAGATTTTATTCATCTATTCATGAGACACAGGCAGAGGGAGAAGCAGGCTCCTCGCAAGGAGCCCGATGCGGGACTCAGATCCCGGGTCTCCAGGATCAGCCCCTGAGACGCTCAGTTGCTGAGCCACCCAGGCGTGGTTGGAATAATAAAACTGCCATCCATCCGACTCAGCTCAAAAAGCTAAGAGACTGGATACAAATGCCCAGATGACAGGCACCCAGGATGGAAGGCAGGACAACGGGATAGGGAAGAAATGAGATGCCGCCATATTATAAAAAAAATCACAGTTCTTACATGGCTTGGTGGGCTCTATTTATTATGCTGCAGGAATTACCTGTATTACCAATATTTTTACCGATAAAAATAGGACTCAAGTCCCTTAAGCCTCAATTGATGACTAATACCAAATATAAACTACTTTTGGCCATCACAACTGCCCAGAGCACAGTAACATATTTGGGGGAGACAACAAAAAACCACAGGCTTACACCCAGTCTCATCAATGAAGTATTCATTAATAACTTGTGGAATTGGCAACGGTTTTCCAGTCTCCCAGCTGTTGTCCAGTTTCCTATGTATCATGTCCCAATTATGCCCGAAACACACCCAGAGAACGCAAACACCTACGGGCGGGGCAGGCCTTCGGGCCGGGCAGGCCTTCGGCCTGGGGCGGGGCAGCCGGACACCCCGTTCTCCGGTTTCAACACCACGTCTTTAGGGCGTATTTACAAAGGAAGACTCACGAATGCTAATTCCTACCAGAATAGTTACTGCTGTCAACGGTTTTAAAAGCCAATCCGAACACACAGTTCATTCCGCAAAGCTGGTCTTACCCCAGAGACAGGCCCTTCCCCCTTGTATAAATGCTCCTTTGCTAGGGGTAAGTGCCCACCCCCCGCAGGAGACCCTAAAGCCGTCCAGGCCGCACCAGGCTTGGCTGGGAAACCGAGGGGCTCCGCAGAAGGGCCGCGAGGAGCGCCGAGCGCACCCGCCGGACCCTCCGCCGCCTCGGAACCCCCCGAACCCGAGGGCCCCTGATGAATCTTTGAGCTTAGAACAGCTGAAAGCGGAGTCTACTACGGGGAGGAGTAAGACTCCCGTCGGGTTACTCAGAAAATGCGGCCGAGCCAAGGACCGGGAAGTTAGGTGGGGCCGCGTCGACTGAGGGAGGCGGACAAGGAGACCGCGGCCTCCAGAGACCAACTCGCGCCACGCGGCGGAGGCCCCGGGCGCCCCAGGGCAGCAAGCCCGAGGCACTGAGTCGGGCTCCCGGCAGGAACAGGGGGAACTAAGACCGCGAGGACTCCCACCTCGAAGAGCCCAGCGACTGGCCCGCAGACGCTGCCGCCGGGGCCGTTCGGCGACGGTGCCTCGAGAACCCTCCTCCATCGTCGGCCGCGCGCAAAAGAAAGCCCAGCTCCTTCCGCCGGGCGGTTGGCGCTCCGGGCCCCGCCCCTTCCGGGCCTTTGCCCCGCCTCTGCGAGGGGCGGGGCCCTGGCGGCGGAGCCGGGCTGAGCGCTGGGGCCCGGGTCTCGGTGTAGGAGCCTGTTCCAACTTTTGCTATTGATATTTGTGTTTTTTTTCTTTCTCTTGTTTCTCTCAGTCATTTTATATACTGAGTCTTGGCTGCAAAGCAGTAGGCTTTCGAGACAGGTGGATGACCTTGTTGCCACAAAGAATATACATGGAAGCATATAATTAACTTGAATCAGTAAAAGACACATCCTTCCTTCAAACACTGAAAGTCTAAGAAATTCATAGAAAATATATTTGCCTCAAAGAAACACGGTGTATAACTCTAAACATTGCAAAAACAATTGTGGTTATACTCGCTTTACCAAAGGATTTCTCTTTATATAAAAGTTGTTTTTTTTTTTTTAAGGTTTTATTTATTTATTTATTTAGAGAGACACACAGAGAGAGGCAGAGACACAGGCAGAGGGAGAAGCAGGCTCCATGCGGGGACCCCGATGCTGGGACCCCAGGATCACCCCTGAGCTGAAGGCAGGTGCTCAACCACTGAACCATCTGGGTGCCCCTTAGTTGTTTCACATTCTTCGTAACACTTGGTATGATCATCCTCTTACTTTAGACATTCAAATAGGTGTGTACTGATATTTCATCATGCTTTTAATTTGCCTTTCCCTGAAGAATATTAAGTATCTTTTTAAATGTTTATTTGCTATTTGACATCGTTTTCAAGTATTTTCTCCCAGTCTCTAAACTTGTCCTTTCATTAATAGTGTCATTCAAATAGAAGTTTCCATTTGATGAAAAACAATGTATTAATTTTTTTCTCATATGGATTTGGCTTTGGCTGTTATGTTTAAGAAACTTTACATAACTCAAACTTCTGGAAAGTCCTTCCCCTCCCCCAACCATAGACCAATTCAGTTATTCCTCATGAAATAAATATGTCCTTCTCAGGACACAGGTCACTCCACCAGGTTCATCAAATGACTGTCTCTATCCAAGATTCAGAGCTATGTCCATACAGATTATGTCATGAATTTTGCCCAAACCCAATAAGGCCCCTCAACATTGAAAGACTCATCCTGGGGCACCTGAGTGGCTCAGTTGGTTAAGCCTCTGACTCTTGATTTTGGCTCAGGTTATGATCTCATGGTTTTGAGACTGAGCCTTGCATTAGGCACCATGCTCAGCAGGGAGCCTGCTGGAGATTCTCTCCCTCTGCTCCTCCAGCTAGTTGTGCTCTCTCTGTCTCAAATAATCTTAAAAAAAAAAAAGAAAAAGAAAAGAAACAAAGAAAGAAAAGACTCCTCCTAATCGAGAGTCTCAAAAACCTCATAAATATCCTGCCATTGCCCTTCCCTTTCTAAAATGCTATCAACACTGTCAAGGCAATAGTCTCCCTTACTTCCCTTATCCTTCCCTCCTTAGAAGATTTTGTGATAAGCAATGAATTTGACTTTGTTCTACCAACAGGTTATTTGGGTGGTCTTTTCAAGGAGTCAGCAGTCTCAGCAGTCAAAAATAAATAGAAAGAAAGAAAAGGAAAGGAAAAGAAAGAAAAGAAATCTCCAAAAGCATAGGCAGACAAAGAAGAAGAGTATCCATCCACATCCACATTGTGCCTGTGTGTGTGTATCTGTGTAGGTGTGTGTTTTAAACAACCTAAATATCTGGAGACTTGTAAAGTGAATTACAAAACAACCAAACAATAGGATGGAAATTCTACTTTTGTCTCTCAAATTTATTTACCCCCTTTTCCAGACTATTTCAGCCCATTTCTCCCCAAACCCCCTCTTTTGTCTCCCCCACATCACAGCTTATAACTTACTAGCTTTAAGAGAACACAAAGTAATTTAAACAGAAAAAAAGGTTTTTTTGAAATTTAAATGCAATTTGCCAACATATAGTATAACACCCATCAAGTGCTCATCCCATCAAGTGCCCTCCTCAAGTGCCCATTACCCAGCTACCTCATCCCCCCACCCACCTCCCCTCCAGTAACCCTCAGTTTGTTTCCCAGAGTTAGGAGTCTCTTATGGTTTGTCTTCCTCTGTAATAGTTCCCCATTCAGTTTCCCCTCCTTCCCTTATGCTCCTTTTCACTATTTCTTATATTCTACATGTGAGTGAAACCATATGATGGTTGTCTTTCTCTGATTGCCTTTTTCACTCAGCATAATACCCTCCAGTTCCATCCGTGTCGATATAGATTGTAGGTATTAATCCTTTCTGATGACTGAGTCATATATACCACATCTTCTTTATCCATTCATCTGTTGAAGGACATCTTGGCTCCTTCCACAGTTTGGCTATTGTGGACATTGCTGGTATAACATTGGGGTGTGAGTGTCCCATCATTTCACTACAACTGTATCTTTGGGGTGAATACTAAACAAGAAAATGTAATATAAAGATTTAACTGTAGGGGTGCCTGGCTGGCTCAGTCGGAGGAGTATGCAACTCTTGATCTCAGGGTCATGAGTTTGAGCCCATGTTCAGTGTAGAGGTCACTCTAAATGAATAAATAAATAAAAATTTAAAAAAAAGAATTAACATAATAAGAGATTATCTGTTAAGAGAAAAAGAAAATTTTAAAGAATATGGAAATAACATATCGGAGCTGCCACCCTCTCTGACCTGAGGCAGAACCTAGTAAGGAACAGATTTGGAGGAGGCCACTCCAGACTTGTGGCTAAGTGCTGCCCTCTGGATTGCTGGCGGAGGCCACTCACAGGAAGGTGCTACGTGCTGCCGGCCACAGTATGCTGTAGGAACCTGTTGAGAGGAGCAAACCAGAAACAAGAGGAGCAGCTCCTCCTGCAATCTCCCTTCAATACCCTTTACTGACAAACCTTCACATTATGTGCTTGGCAAAAGAGAAATGTTTTTATGGCCCAAGTTCATTATCATAGAGCAGGTTATGTGGGGGTAGATCTGGAGACGAAAGACAGTAAATTGATAACTGGAATATGCTTTTTTTCTCCATTGAACAAAGACAAGCCACCAGATAGGAAACCATCATCCAGCTTGCACCCCTCTGTACATCAGTACCCACTTCATTGTTCTGTCCTGTTACTGCCCAAAGTATTCCTCCTGTTAAAGGCTCTTGGTCCTGACCTCCTTCTTCCCTGCTCCAAGACGTGCCTTCAAGTATCCTCTCTCTTCTGCATTATCTATCTCTCCCTTACCAATGGCCCATTCCAGCAGCATATAAACATGTTCCAGTCTCTTTACACTATTTATTAATTTTTGGCTGCCTAGTATCCATTCCCAATTCTTTTGATAAAAGCACGTACTGATATTGCCCAAATTCATGTCTCTACCTCAGACCTCACCTCCAAACTAACACTCATATATCTTCCTACTTCACCATCTCCAGCGCTGAGGGTGGAGGCAGGTAATGAACCTAGACCTTACTTTTGATCTTTGATTTTCTTCTCTCTCTTTTTCTATTGAAGCTTTTGTATTTCTTCTTTCTCTCTAATGGAAACTTCATTTAAGTCATTTCTTGATAGGAAATGACTTCATATTTACTCCTTTAAACTTTGCTCTTAAAGTCAATGTAGAGACTCAGGGTTGCCAGATGACCTTGATTAGTGCAAATAACTTGGGGCACCTGGGTGGCGCAACTGGTTAAGCCTCTGACTTCTGATTTCGGTTCAGGTTTTGATCTCAGAGTTGTGAACTAAAGCTCCATGTTGGGCTCCACACTAATAATAATAATAACATGAGAATATTAATATGAATATGAGCAAATAATATGAACAACTTCCCATTTTGCTTAAAAAATATCCACTTGCATATATAGTCAACTGATTTTTGACAAGGGTGCTAAGACCATCCAATGGGGAAACAATAATCTTTTCAACAAATGGTCCTGAGAAAATGATATCTACGTGCGAAAGAATGAAGTTGGCCCCTTACCCTATACTACATACAAAAATCAACTCAAGATAGATCAAAAACCTAAATATAGGGATCCCTGGGTGGTGCAGCGGTTTGGCGCCTGCCTTTGGCCCAGGGCGCGATCCTGGAGACCTGGGATCGAGTCCCACATTGGGCTCCCGGTGCATGGAGCCTGCTTCTCCCTCTGCCTGTGTCTCTGCCTCTCTCTCTCTCTCTCTCTCTCTCTGTGACTATCATAAATAAATAAAAATTTAAAAATTAAAAAAAATAAATCAATCTTTTTAAAAAACAAAACAAAACAAAAACCTAAATATAAGAACTAAAACTATAGAACTCTTAGAAGAAAACAGGGCAATAGTTTCATCACTTTGGATTTAGGAATAATTTCTTGGATTTGACACCAAAAACAGGCAACGAAAGGAAAAATAGATAAATTGGATTTGACTGAAATAAAAAAATTGTGATTAAAAGGCACTGTCAAGAGAGTGAAAAGATACCCACAGAAAGGAAGAAAATATTTGCAAAGCGTAGATCTGATAAGGGATTAATATCCAAGATATATGGAGAACTCCTAAACTCAGCAATGAAAAAGCCAAACAACTCTGCAAAAATGGACAAAGGATATGAATAGACATTTCTCCAAAGAAGATATACGAGTGGCCAATAACCACATGAAAAAGCTGCTCAAATAACTACCTATGAGGGAAATGCAAATCAAAGCTGCAATGAAATACACTTCACACCTATTAGAGTGGTTATTTTCAAAACAGCAACAAAATAACAAATATTGGTGAGGATATGGAGAAATTAGAACCCTTGGATCATTGAGTGAGAATGTAAAATAGTGCAGCCACTGGGGAAAACAGTATGGCAGTTCCTCAAAAAGGTAAACATAGAATTACCCTGTGATCCAGCAGTTCCACTTCAGGGTATATACCCAAAAAAAATTGAAAGCAGAGACTTAAATACTTGTACACCAATGTTCATAGCAGCATTATTCATAATAACCAAAAGGTAGAAACAACCAAATATCCATTGATAGATGAATC